ATGAGTATTTTTGCATATTTTAGTAGATTTTTACACGTTTTTGTTAATATTTTACTGATATGTTTTATGAATGTGAAAACATTTAATGTTTCACTTTAAATCTGTTTCAAAGTTGAAGAGTCAGCAGACGTCTTAAAAGTACCAAAAGTAAATGTACTTATTGTGCAGAAGCTAACAATGACATTATTGTTCTATTAATATAAAGGGAGGTCAGGTACTCTTTAAAACAGCTGCTAGTTATGGGTACTTTAGTAAAGAAGTTTAGTCAGTACTTCTACTTTTACCAGAGTATTTTTAAACACGACTATCAGTTTCTCCATCTCTGCAGAATTATCTGATGATCTACGTCCCCTGGACTCCTCTTCCTCCCATTCTCCCCCAGAATAAAGCGCCACAGGTGGAAGAAACACACTTATCCTTGAAAAGTTAAAGTACAAAAATATACTTAAAGGTGGGGTAGGTAATTTTGGAGAAACCAGCTCAAGATCGCTAGAATATGAAAATACACAGCCGAAGAAAATCTTCCACTTCCTTTCAGAGCCCCTCCTCCAACACACACGAACGCGCACATGACCAATGAGGGCACGAGATAAGTTTGTGCAGAGATGGAAGGCTGACAGGCAGGTAGGCCATCCAGTTATTTTAGCTGGGCCGGCTCAGATGATTGGTCGTGCTTTTTACAGTACTACGGCTTCCACAGATGAGATTTTTTATGTATTTTTTGTCAAAGCACTTCAGATATTCATTGCTATCGGGATGTTAAGAGCATTCCATGGAATATAACAAGTGTATCTCGAGCCGGTTTCTCAAACTTACCTACCCCACCTTTAAGGAAGCAAGAAATAAAGTCCTCTTTTTGCAGGATTTCAGACACACAACACCTCCAGAGAAATGATGTAGGCAAATGTTCAGGGAAGTAGAGTGAGTTATGCAAACACCTGTCATGGGAGAGAGGTACACATACAGTACATGTAGAAATAAATGCAAACTACACACACTAACACTGCGTCTGTGTTGGTGCAGAGTTTCCTCAGAATGAAAACACCCGGCTACTCCCACCAAAACACATGTGTTTATGAAGAACGAAATTAGGTAAGGAAACAACAACTAAACACACAATAAACCACTTAGTAAAAGGAAGTAGTAAAATATACCTGAACTCTGAAAAGGAGTCAGACAGAAAGACTGACAGGGGAAAGATGGAAGGCTAAAAGAGATCAGTCTGAAACACATCCTGTTATCAGCTGAGACACACGCACACACGCACGCACACGCACGCACACGCACACACGCACACGCACGCACGCACGCACGCACGCACACGCACGCACGCACGCACACACACACACACACACACACACACACACACAGATATTGTATACATTTGTCACGGTGAAGGTAACAAAACATTGTTAATATATATAAATATCAACATTATAGAGGTGGTAGTATTCAACAAATTATTCAAAACACACATAAGAAATGACATTCTCTACATTTTATACATACATAATAATAATAATAATAAATTCGATTTTTAAAGCAACTTTCATTGCTAACAGCAATCCCAAGGTGCTACTAATAAGACATATATGATTCTGCACAATAAGTACTTTTCCTTTTGGTATAAGACATCTGCTGACCCCTAAACTTTGAAACAGAAGTGAAACATTAAATCTGTGTTTTCACATTCATAAAACATATCAGTACAATATTAACAAAACTCGTGAAAATCTACTAGGGGGTGCTAGTGGATCGCCGGAGCTGTATTAGATTAACATTAACATGCTTATTGTAGTTGTAAGTGCACTGCCTTGCGGCCTGTAGCACCATATGTGTGGGCTGGACCTGTATTTTACAGGAAAGGAGTGAGCAGAGGGTAGAATTGTCGATTCTTGTTCTGTTTGCTGTGACTATCTTCCTCACCCTCTCAGACTTTCAGTTGCGCGCGCTACGCTACCATGGAAACCAAACAATGGTGTAGCTGTATTAAAGTCCGAGTGGAAACAGTCCTGAGTAAATCTGATTTTGTCAGAAATCGGGAGAAATGCGGGAGAAATATGACCCCGGGAGGAAACCGGGAGAGGGCAATGAAATCGGGAGTCTCCCGCGAAAATCGGGAGGGTTGGCAAGTATGCTGCAACCTAACCTGCTCCGGAGCAGGTTAGCCGCTCAGCATAAGTTACCATGGAGATCTAGCCCGCTAAAAAGAGAACCAGCGTCGTAGGACCGGAAACCCCAAGTTTTCCCTGAAGTCAGCCCGCTAAGCGAAAATGCTGCTTCGTAGTACAGGCCTCTGGAAATGATGGATACACGGATCGTGTTCAAATCAATAGGCACGCAATGACTCTAAAGAATAATGATCACGCCACCAAACACACATTCAAACTAAAGGAACCAGCCTGTTTGGAAATGTGAGAAGTAGAAAGTACAGGTATTTGTGTTCAACATGTAAGAAGTAGAAAGTACAGGTATTTGTGTTCAACATGTAAGAAGTAGAAAGTACAGGTATTTGTGTTCAACATGTAAGAAGTAGAAAGTACAGGTATTTGGGTTCAACATGTAAGAAGTAGAAAGTACAGGTATTTGTGTTCAACATGTAAGAAGTAGAAAGTACAGGTATTTGGGTTCAACATGTAAGAAGTAGAAAGTACAGGTATTTGGGTTCAACATGTAAGAAGTAGAAAGTACAGGTATTTGGGTTCAACATGTAAGAAGTAGAAAGTACAGGTATTTGTGTTCAACATGTAAGAAGTAGAAAGTACAGGTATTTGTGTTCAACATGTAAGAAGTAGAAAGTACAGGTATTTGGGTTCAACATGTAAGAAGTAGAAAGTACAGGTATTTGTGTTCAACATGTAAGAAGTAGAAAGTACAGGTATTTGTGTTCAACATGTAAGAAGTAGAAAGTACAGATATTTGTGTTCAACATGTAAGAAGTAGAAAGTACAGGTACTTGTGTTCAAAATGTAAGAAGTAGAAAGTACAGGTATTTGGGTTCAAAATGTAAGAAGTAGAAAGTACAGGTATTTGTGTTCAACATGTAAGAAGTAGAAAGTACAGGTATTTGTGTTCAATATGTAAGAAGTAGAAAGTACAGGTATTTGTGTTCAACATGTAAGAAGTAGAAAGTACAGGTATTTGTGTTCAACATGTAAGAAGTAGAAAGTACAGGTATTTGTGTTCAACATGTAAGAAGTAGTTCAAGTACAGGTATTTGTGTTCAACATGTAAGAAGTAGAAAGTACAGGTATTTGTGTTCAACATGTAAGAAGTAGAAAGTACAGGTATTTGTGTTCAAAATGTAAGAAGTAGAAAGTACAGGTATTTGTGTTCAACATGTAAGAAGTAGAAAGTACAGGTATTTGTGTTCAACATGTAAGAAGTAGAAAGTACAGGTATTTGGGTTCAAAATGTAAGAAGTAGAAAGTACAGGTATTTGTGTTCAACATGTAAGAAGTAGAAAGTACAGGTATTTGTGTTCAACATGTAAGAAGTAGAAAGTACAGGTATTTGTGTTCAACATGTAAGAAGTAGAAAGTACAGGTATTTGTGTTCAACATGTAAGAAGTAGAAAGTACAGGTATTTGTGTTCAACAGTAAGAAGTAGAAAGTACAGGTATTTGTGTTCAACATGTAAGAAGTAGAAAGTACAGGTATTTGTGTTCAAAATGTAAGAAGTAGAAAGTACAGGTATTTGTGTTCAAAATGTAAGAAGTAGAAAGTACAGGTATTTGTGTTCAAAATGTAAGAAGTAGAAAGTACAGGTATTTGTGTTCAACATGTAAGAAGTAGAAAGTACAGGTATTTGTGTTCAACATGTAAGAAGTAGAAAGTACAGGTATTTGTGTTCAATATGTAAGAAGTAGAAAGTACAGGTACTTGTGTTCAAAATGTAAGAAGTAGAAAGTACAGGTATTTGGGTTCAAAATGTAAGAAGTAGAAAGTACAGGTATTTGTGTTCAACATGTAAGAAGTAGTTCAAGTACAGGTATTTGTGTTCAACATGTAAGAAGTAGAAAGTACAGGTATTTGTGTTCAACATGTAAGAAGTAGAAAGTACAGGTATTTGTGTTCAAAATGTAAGAAGTAGAAAGTACAGGTATTTGGGTTCAAAATGTAAGAAGTAGAAAGTACAGGTATTTGTGTTCAACATGTAAGAAGTAGTTTAAGTACAGGTATTTGTGTTCAACATGTAAGAAGTAGAAAGTACAGGTATTTGTGTTCAACATGTAAGAAGTAGAAAGTACAGGTATTTGTGTTCAAAATGTAAGAAGTAGAAAGTACAGGTACTTGTGTTCAAAATGTAAGAAGTAGAAAGTACAGGTATTTGGGTTCAAAATGTAAGAAGTAGAAAGTACAGGTATTTGTGTTCAACATGTAAGAAGTAGTTCAAGTACAGGTATTTGTGTTCAACATGTAAGAAGTAGAAAGTACAGGTATTTGTGTTCAACATGTAAGAAGTAGAAAGTACAGGTATTTGTGTTCAAAATGTAAGAAGTAGAAAGTACAGGTATTTGGGTTCAAAATGTAAGAAGTAGAAAGTACAGGTATTTGTGTTCAACATGTAAGAAGTAGTTTAAGTACAGGTATTTGTGTTCAACATGTAAGAAGTAGAAAGTACAGGTATTTGTGTTCAACATGTAAGAAGTAGAAAGTACAGGTATTTGTGTTCAAAATGTAAGAAGTAGAAAGTACAGGTACTTGTGTTCAAAATGTAAGAAGTAGAAAGTACAGGTATTTGGGTTCAAAATGTAAGAAGTAGAAAGTACAGGTATTTGTGTTCAACATGTAAGAAGTAGAAAGTACAGGTATTTGTGTTCAAAATGTAAGAAGTAGAAAGTACAGGTATTTGGGTTCAAAATGTAAGAAGTAGAAAGTACAGGTATTTGTGTTCAACATGTAAGAAGTAGAAAGTACAGGTATTTGGGTTCAAAATGTAAGAAGTAGAAAGTACAGGTATTTGTGTTCAACATGTAAGAAGTAGAAAGTACAGGTATTTGTGTTCAAAATGTAAGAAGTAGAAAGTACAGGTATTTGGGTTCAAAATGTAAGAAGTAGAAAGTACAGGTATTTGTGTTCAACATGTAAGAAGTAGAAAGTACAGGTATTTGTGTTCAACATGTAAGAAGTAGAAAGTACAGGTATTTGTGTTCAACATGTAAGAAGTAGAAAGTACAGGTATTTGTGTTCAAAATGTAAGAAGTAGAAAGTACAGGTACTTGTGTTCAAAATGTAAGAAGTAGAAAGTACAGGTATTTGGGTTCAAAATGTAAGAAGTAGAAAGTACAGGTATTTGTGTTCAACATGTAAGAAGTAGAAAGTACAGGTATTTGTGTTCAACATGTAAGAAGTAGAAAGTACAGGTATTTGTGTTCAAAATGTAAGAAGTAGAAAGTACAGGTATTTGTGTTCAACATGTAAGAAGTAGAAAGTACAGGTATTTGTGTTCAACATGTAAGAAGTAGAAAGTACAGGTATTTGGGTTCAAAATGTAAGAAGTAGAAAGTACAGGTATTTGTGTTCAACATGTAAGAAGTAGAAAGTACAGGTATTTGTGTTCAACATGTAAGAAGTAGAAAGTACAGGTATTTGTGTTCAACATGTAAGAAGTAGAAAGTACAGGTATTTGTGTTCAACATGTAAGAAGTAGAAAGTACAGGTATTTGTGTTCAACATGTAAGAAGTAGAAAGTACAGGTATTTGTGTTCAACATGTAAGAAGTAGAAAGTACAGGTATTTGTGTTCAACATGTAAGAAGTAGAAAGTACAGGTATTTGTGTTCAACATGTAAGAAGTAGAAAGTACAGGTATTTGTGTTCAAAATGTAAGAAGTAGAAAGTACAGGTATTTGTGTTCAAAATGTAAGAAGTAGAAAGTACAGGTATTTGGGTTCAACATGTAAGAAGTCAAAGTAAAAAGTGGTCAGAAAAATAAGTAGTGGAGTAAAGTACTGATACCAGAAACATGTACTTAAGTACAGTAACGAAGTATTTGTACTCCACTACTCTGTAATTCTGGCATACAAGATATTGAAGTTGACCTTTAAGTTTTTAATGCCGACTCATTGATTCACTCGTTTTCCAAAAGCCATTTGAACATTGTGAAATGCTTCTCACACCAAATATTGCTTTAATGCGATTAAATAGACGCATTTTTCTAATCGCTTGACAGCCCTCATTAAAACACAGCAGCAGCTCTGTTTCAGCAGGTTTTGGATATTTTAGGTGCTGCACATGTTCCGGTGTGTTTCTTCCCCCTGTGGCGCTTTATTCTGGGGGAGAATGGGAGGGAGAGGAGGAAGTGGAGGAAGATATGGGACACGAGAGGAGGAAGTGGAGCATCTCTGATCGTCTCGCTGAAACAACACGGCTCAGCTGCCGGGTGTTGATCTTTCTTTGTGTAAATGTAACCAAATAAAAACAATTAAAATGCATGAAATAAAAGCGTGGACGACCGGGGAATATTGCGATGATGGAAATAAAACGTGTTTGATGATAAAAATACGGGGATATTCTTTTATTTGACCAGTTTATAAACAGGTTTGTTGCCAAGTAGGGTTACACATCTGAGGAATTGTCTTGTGTATTAGGTGTAACACAACACAACAGTGTAAAAAATGACTATTTTAAGGAAACTATTATAACAATAGTTACGTGGAATACAGATGAAATATAGATATACTCGTAAAACATAAAATACAATAAAATAAATGCTTCATACTTGCTGTAGTTCACTTATGCTCCTGAGCTTCCCACCAGTAATACAGTCTTACTTATAATGATCATTTAAACTAGATGTGATGTAAAATGAGAATAGCTGAAGATAAAGGATGGCACTGCGGGGGTTGAACCTCAGACCGATGCATGAAAGACCAAAACTTAGACCTTGAGTCTTTCAAATGTATGAAAACTGGACAGCATGAACACAAAGGCTTAATATATCATTTTAAAACGTACAGCATCATCCAAGCTGGTATACAAACTGAGAATGGCTGTTTCAAACCCTCGCAGTGTGGTTAAACCTTGAGTCTTTCTCCATCTTTATATCCCACATCAGTTAATATATATGTGTATTTTGACAGATAAACAATATGGGGATTGAACCCACAACCTTCCGACTGAAAGACGACTACACTACCTCTCAGCCGTATCATAGTGTGTTCAGAAATGATTTAGTCATGCATCTAACTGTCTTAATGTTTGAGTTTCTGCTTGTAAAGCCCGGGAGGAGAGCAGGTATTAAATTAATCAAAAACTAAGTCAAGCCATGGCTGTTGGGTATGTATGACATTAGTTTTAAAGGTATTTGTTGATAAACCAAAGTTTCCAAAGTGACTATAATTCATCCTGAGGGGATAATGGATCCTGGTTTTACATTTCATGGCAATCTATCACATTCTTGGTGAGATATTTCACAGTTTTCACAGAAACTAAAAGTGTCTGTTCTCTGTTTCTGTTTCCTCAACTCTCAGTCTTTTGAACTCTCTTGAAACATTATATATATATATATATATATATATATATATATATATATATATATATATATATATATATATATATATATATATATATATATATATATGTTAAGTCCGGTTCCGGTCTCAGACTCCGCTCCGGGAGAAAAACTAAAGGCTAAAGTTTTAGAGGCAGAGAGGGAATGGAGTGTGGTTGGTGTTTTGGGAACAAAAGGAGAGGGAGTAAGAGCTACCAGAAAGGCACTGTTTACATTCTTGAGTGAAACTGGGGTAGGAAAAATAATTTAACATTAGGTCAGGAAAGAATATAGATTTTTATTTTTGTTTTATTTATTTCATGTTTTTTGTTGATTTATTTTTATTTATTTTTATTAGATCATAGGTTAAAGAGTTGGTATGATATGATGATTCATACTCATGTACAGTAGGTGGCGGTATGCACCTTTTAAATTGTTTGCAATCCGCCAAAAACGAAGAGAAGAAGAAGAAGAAGACTCCTTTCCGGGTTTTCTCCCCTCCCGGCTCCACTGATCCAGCCCGGGTTTCTCCTCTCTCCGCCTCGCCGTGCGACCGGATGAAAACAAGAGCGGAAACTGAATTTATCCTTTTAAAAAAATGGATTAAAATTTAAACTGTTTGTTATTGTGTGTGAAGGAGCAGATGATGTCTACCTCCAGGAGCGGGGACATCATCCACCTGAACGTCGGGGGGAAGAGGTGAGGATCTGGGGGACTTTATTTAGGGAGAGTCGGTCAGCTAGCACCAAAGTAAACACGTTTTAAATTAGTTTAAATCACCAGAAATCAGTCACAAAGTTTCCTGAGTCTTTAACAAACAGTCCAGGAATCAAAGAAACTCCACGTGATCCAGTTCTGAGGTTTCTGTCCTGTTTAAAGCGTTTCAGTGGGCTCTCCTTCACACTGATTATTGTTAGCTTAATGCTAACACGTACGTGCTATAATCACTGGTGTAAAGTAACTAAGTACATTTACTAAAGTACTGTCCTTTTGAGGTACTACTCCACTACAGTTCAGAGGTACATGGTGTACTTTTCCTCCACTACATGTATTGCATACCTTTAGTTACTTTACAGATGTGGATGAATGATGTGAAATCTAATCAAGTGTTAAATCAGACTTTAGTTCCACCTGGAGTAAATCCACAAGCTACCCTGCAGTATACAAAGTCATTCAAACTAGCTGCACCTTTACCAGCTTTGAGAACACTTTCATGATCAATCATTATAAAACATATCATATATATTATTATGAAATGGACCAATCTGCACAATGACTACTTTTACTGTCGCTACTTTCACTATATTTTGATGAGAATACTTTTCTACTTTTACTTGAGGAACATTTTGAATGCAGGACTTTTACTGTAACAGAGTATTCCTACACTCTGGTACTTCTACTTTTACTCAAGTACAAGATCTGAGTACTTCTACTTTTACTCAAGTACAAGATCTGAGTACTTCTACTTTTACTCAAGTACAAGATCTGAGTACTTCTACTTTTACTCAAGTACACGATCTGAGTACTTCTACTTTTACTCAAGTACAAGATCTGAGTACTTCTACTTTTACTCAAGAACAAGATCTGAGTACTTCTACTTTTACTCAAGAACAAGATCTGAGTACTGCTACTTTTACTCAAGTACAACATCTGAGTACTTCTACTTTTACTCAAGTACAATATCTGAGTACTTCTACTTTTACTCAAGTACAACATCTGAGTACTTCTACTTTTACTCAAGTACAATATCTGAGTACTTCTACTTTTACTCAAGAACAAGATCTGAGTACTTCTACTTTAACTCAAGTACAAGATCTGAGTACTTCTACTTTGACTGAAGTACAAGATCTGAGTACTTTTACTTTGACTGAAGTACAAGATCTGAGTACTTCTACTTTGACTGAAGTACAAGATCTGAGTACTTTTACTCAAGTACAAGATCTGAGTACTTTTACTCAAGTACAAGATCTGAGTACTTCTCCCACCTCTGCTAGTAAGTACTTTAATATAATGATTGTCTTGTCAGGCAGTCAGTGTTTGCAGAAGTACTCACATCCTTTACTTCAGTAAAAGTACAAATACTATGGTCTTAAAATACTCCACTACAAGTAAAAGTCCTGATTACAAAATGTTATTTAGGTAAAAGTACAGAAGTATAAGCATAAAGATGTGTTTAAAGTACAAAAAGCAAAAGTACTCATTCAGCACAATGACCCATCTCAGAATAATATAAAGTGTTTTGGGGGTTATTGAGGATGTTCAGGATCAGAAATGGCAGTTATAACCAGAAAGTGACCATATTACTCTCTGTGGACTGATTTTGATGTGTTTTGGGTCAATTCAAACATTTTGGGGACTTAAAACTGCCATATTTGATCCTAGATATGTCAGAAAATGGACTCAGAATGCTCTATAAACTCCACAATTGTCCAAATCAACCAAACTATTTTTTAAATTAACAAAACGTATGCTAATTTTTGCAAATGTCCCAACATGCAGGTTAGCATCCGGCAGTTCCTATGTGCTGGAGACCCTACTGTACATTTCTATGATAACACTTTGGGGTCTCAACATCTCCAGGTGCTGGTAGACTTTAGTAAACTCTACCTCAGAGAAGAGTAAACAGTGATTGTGTTTCAGGTTCAGCTCCTCCCGGCAGACGCTCACCTGGGTCCCTGACTCCTTCTTCTCCAGGTGAGAGAAACTCCTAACTAACCAATGCAGACAATGACAAACTCCATTTCAAATGTTGGAAATGTGATGATGTTTTTATGAAACACGTGGTTCTGCACTTGAACAGAGCTTGAACCTTAACGGCCCGTCCACGCGGCAGCTTCGCGTGCTTCAACGGAGACGCTTCCCATTCACTTTGAATGGGGTGACGTCACGCTTTGCCGAACTGCATTGTGGTTCCGTCGCGTCGCTTTGCCTCCGTTGCTCGCTTCGGAAGTTGAGAACATTTCAACTTTTCAAGCGTCTACGGAAGCGTCAGCCAATCAAATCATATGCCAGTACAAGCGCTAGCCAATCAAACCGCGTGCTTGTGTGTCCGGGGCGGGAGATTCATGTGATTGGTTGTTGGTCGCACGCCAGACACGCCCACCGGTAAGCTTCAACGCACGCTGCCGTGTGGAGGTACCGTTATATATACAGTCTATGGTAGGGCTGTGCGATTATGGCAAAAATCATAATCACGATTATTTGGGTCAATAATTGATATCACGATTATTAAATACGATTATTCATTGACTTTGTAAACATCCATTTATTGAACTTTAAAACAAATACACATAATAATTTGAACAGTATCTTTTTAACTGTTGATTACCCTGAACGTATAATTCAACTGAAAAACCAATACAAAAATAAATAAAATAAATGATACATTTATATTTACATTTAAATAAATAATATCAAAATAATAAATACCAATAAACAAGATCAACAAATATTTTGGAGCGCACTTCAACAAGCTACTAAACATATATAAATATGATAAATACAAATAAATTAGACCAAAATAAATTAGATCAAATATGTTGCACTGTCACAACCAAGCAAAGCAAAATAATCGTTTTTTTCGATTATGTTGTTTTCGTTATTGTGGCAGGCCAAAATCGTAATTGCGATTAAAATACGATTAATTGCACAGCCCTAGTCTATGGCTTCAAGTTATTCTTTTCAAAATGATTTTTATTTGTTTTTCAGTCTTCTGAGCGGCCGCATCTCGACTCTGAAGGATGAAACTGGAGCTGTGAGTAACACTGTATTTATTAGCTTATTAATTAATTAATGTGTTATGAGATATCTATTGATTTATATTTATAGCTAAGCATTTATGTCCTTGTTTTCGTTATTGTACATTTACCATTTAGTTTAGTTTAGTATAATAATAATAATAATAATACATGGGATTTTGATGGCGCTTTTCCTAATGCTCAAAGACGCTTAGTATATTTTAAGTTAATCGAAACAGTTTTATGCTTTGATTTTGAAGGCAGTTTTGGGCACTGGGTGATACTGTATGTATATTTAGGAGACAGGCAGTGTTGGGATTAGCGCGCCAGTACAGGCTAATGGTTTTTTACCACAGTGGAAGAAGGAAAGCAGCAGGAATTAATGTAAAAGCTGTGTCCTCTTTTTATTGGAATTAAATGCACAAAAAGGATATTCTTGCCTGGATCTTCCCATTCGTTTTTGAGTTAATGTTCAGTTTTATATCCTGTAAAATGTGTGATATTTATCTCAACATCTCCCTGCAGATCTTCATCGACAGAGACCCCTCTCTGTTCGCCACCATCCTCAACTTCCTTCGCACCAAAGAGCTGTACCCGCGCTCCATCAACGTGCACATGCTCATGCACGAGGCCGAGTTTTACGGCATCACGCCGCTGGGTGAGAGTTGAGACTTTTGGAAATACAACGTGAACTTTTAAAAACGACATCTGGGAAGATACAAACTACAGAAAATTACATTTAAAAAGTCATATCAAATGTTAAACACACAGCTCAGCTCACAATCCATATAATAAGTGAAACACAATTAAAAAGGTAAAATCTAGGTGTAAATGGTGAATTAAATGCAAATACAGGATAAAGAATTGCAGATTTAACCAGAAAGTAGTCGTATTTGTACTGTTGGTGGGCTGATTCTAAGATAAGATCAAATGAAATGTACTTTATTAATCCCAATTTGGGAAAAATCTTTGTTGCAGTAGAATGCGACCTTTCTCCCCTGCCCCAAATGGTCCTGGACCCTAACCCCCTAACTCACTTTTCTGCCCATCTCCGCTGCTACTGCACTGAAACTGTACTTTGAACACTTAAATTATATTATTAATATTTTAAACTGTATACCATGTTTATCTAGGCCCTTTTTGTTTTTTGTTTGATGTATATATGTCACACTGTAGGACTCCGGGAAACGATATTTCGAGATTTCTGGATGTACAACATGTAGAATTCTTGACAATAAAGCTGACTTTGACTTTGACATTTGATAAAACAAAACAAGGCATTGAACATAATAACACAAGAGTAGAAATAAACCAGCATTAGAGAGTAAGAAAGAAGAATTTGATGAATTTTGGGTCATTTTTATAATTTTGGGGGACTCAAAACTGCCATTTTTAATTCTAAAAGTGACAGAAATGGATTCAACATCCTCATAACCCCCAAAAACACTCCAAAATGGTGGCAGTTCCTATGTGCTGCTGGGGACCCGTACTATACATTTGTTACATAACACTTTGGGGTAATCAACATCTCCAGGTTCACACGGCTGGCAACCAGACTCACTTTGTTGAATTTCTTCCTCTGTTCATTCTCTCATGAAGTATCTCTTTGTGTTGAAGTGCGTAAGCTGCAGCTGTGTGACGAGCTGGACCGATCCTCCTGTGGAAACGTGCTGTTCAACGGCTACCTGCCTCCCCCAGGTACTCCACCGTAACTCACATTTCATCTGTAGTTTGACGTATAATGTTCCTGCTGCTGTTGGTCTGAAGAGGAACTGAAAACACACCTTTGGTTTCCGTATGAATCGCTCTTGACATCGCCAAAGAAAAGCACTGTTGGGATGCTTAAGATAACATTTAATAAAATAGAATAAAAATGAAAAATAAAATAATTAACTAAACAATAATAAAAAAATAATAAAAAAAAATATTTATACACACATGGAGAACTTAGAGTGTACTAAAATGTAAAACAATAAGTAAAAATATGTATATTACAATATGAGTGTAATAATAATAATGCTGGAAATAATTAACTATCCCCTACTTTGTCCTCACTTCCTGTCTGTGCCCTCACTTCCTGTCTGTGCCCTCACTTCCTGTCTGCCTCAGTGTACCCAGCGAAGCGGCGTAACCGTCACAGCGTGGCCGGCTCTCAGTTCATGGCGGGCCGAGTAGCGCCGGCAGAGCGAGCACCGGTGAGACGAAGCAACACCATGCCTCCAAACCTGGGGAACTCTGGCATCCTGGGGAGGGTCAGCACCGAGGAGAGGACCCCCGGAGGTACCAGAACACACCAGAACACACCAGAACACACCATAGTATAATATACCATACTGTACCAGAACATACCATACTGTACCAGAACATACCATACTGTACCATAATATAATATACCATACTGTACCGTACCATACTATACCATCCTGGGGAGGGTTAGCGCCGAGGAGAGGACGCCCGGAGGTACCAGAACATACTATACCATACGCTACCATACTGTACCATAATATACCATAAGATACCACACAATACCATACGCTAAGATACCATACCTTACGATACAGTACCATACCATACCATATGATAATATACCAAACGCTACGCTACGATACCAGACCATACTAAACCTTAACATACCAGACCATACTAAACCTTAACATACCATACCAGACCATACTATACTAAACCTTAACATACCAGACCATACTAAACCTTAACATACCATACCAGACCATACTATACTAAACCTTAACATACCAGACCATACTATACCTTAACATACCATACTGTACCATACCATACGATAATATACCATATGCTACGATACCATACCAGACCATACCATTCCTTACAATACCTTACGATACAGTACCATACCGTACTATACCATGCCATACTATATGCTACCATACCGTACTATACAATACTACACCATACCATAAGATATGATACAAATTGAGATTTTAATTGATTTATTAATTTACTAAATCAACATGTTTTAAATCCAAGTTTAATTCACAAAAATGAACAGTTAAATGAGTTTAATCCAAAGCTTTTAACACATATTCAAACCTTAATAAGGTAAAATGCCTCTAACAGGGGAGGTGACCAAAGCAGAGTATATAATGTGTGTGTGTGTGTGTGTGTGTGTGTGCAGGGCAGCTCTCAGACACCGGCATGGTGCGGATCATTTGTGGTCATCACAACTGGATCGCTGTGGCCTACGCTCAGTTTGTCGTCTGCTACAGGTGAGTTCACACAGGTGATGCTTCACTTCGAGCTGCACCTGGTGTACGAAAAGCTTGCTGTAGCAACTTCTTCATGTCTCTTCTACATCAACATGTGTCCCCTCTTCTTCATGTCTCTTCTACATCAACATGTGTCCCCTCTTCTTCATGTCTCCTCTTCATCTTCATGTCTCCTCTTCATCAACATGTGTCCCCTCTTCTTCATGTCTCCTCTTCATCAACATGTGTCCCCTCTTCTCCATCAACATGTGTCCCCTCTTCTTCATGTCTCTTCTTCATCAACATGTGTCCCCTCTTCTTCATGTCTCCTCTTCATCTTCATGTCTCCTCTTCATCAACATGTGTCCCCTCTTCTTCATGTCTCTTCTTCATCAACATGTGTCCCCTCTTCTTCATGTCTCTTCTTCATCAACATGTGTCCCCTCTGTGGAAAGAGACTCTGAAAGTTTCAGGAACAAAGATTCTCTCTCTTTTTGATCCATTTTTATAAAAACCTGTCTGAAAATGAGCTGATCAGATTTTGGCCACTTGATGATGTCATAACGATGTTTTGTCTTGTGTAACCATTAGCCAATCACCAACCAAGGTAACCCCCCCCCCCACCTTATCACCTGAATCTCCTCCTAGAGCACCATTGTGTTCTTTTAACCAAATGTCTCTCAGAGGGGCGTGGGGAGGGGCTCCTTATTTTTCATCTAAAGTAACAGACAGAGAATCAGCACTTTGGAAACAGGGCTGAAACAGAGGGGATTATGGGTAATGCTGCAATGATCTGTTTGGTGTTTCAGCCAATCAGAGACAGGCTCTGGATATATCTGAGACCTGTGATATGTTGATGAAAAACAGTATAATAGGGGACCAAAGAACAGTTGGGTGTCGCAGCTACCCCCCCCCCTAGAGACAACTTCTTCCTTTGTCCATGTCCTTCCTGTAGTGTCATAAAACCCTTTGTGAACACATCTGTTATCACACATCCATTTATATGCCATTCCCAGGATACTACTTTGTTACATTTCATTAGGATTACACTGTATTAAAGCTCTCCTATCATGCAAAATGCACTTTTTGATGTCTCTTATACATCACCATGTGTCCCCGGTGTGTCCCCTGTGTGTCCCCGGTGTGTCCCCGGTGTGTCCCCGGTGTGTCCCCGGTGTGTCAGGAGACTCAGAAAGTGTCAGGAAATAAACCCCTCTCTCTTTTCCTCCGTACCCAAATCTCTAAAAATGGGGGAACAACGGAGCTGATCCAGATTTGCTGCGTCATGACGACGTTACTAAAATGTGGGCGGGCTTTACACCCACGGGCCAATCAGAAACGTTGCTGTCAGAAACAATGAGACGTGTTCTGGAAGTAATACGGTCTGTGTTTACATTAGCATCGCTAACACTCAGAGCTAACCTGTACTGGAGAGAGTGTGTGTGTGAAGAAGCAGAAAATCAAAAGGAACTCACCTTGTGGTAAACCTGAGAGAGAGAAAGAGTTTGAGCTCCATACTGTTTCAGAGAGAATCCTTGATGTGGTTTGGAACATGATATGGAGTTTAATCACGGGAGCATTTAGCTGTATCAAGTAGAATTCTGAGCAGGCACATGCTCCCCCTCCTCTTATTGTTTTCTTTCTTCAAGCTAAGGACCCAGAATCAGCGTTTCTCTAACGGGCTGAAACAGAGGGATATGAGGGATTTCTAAAAGTCATGATCTGTTTGGTATTTTGAGCAAAACGCATTATAGACATGTTTTTTATATATTGTTACATATCTGAGACCCATAAAAGATATGCCTAAAAATAGCATAATAGGAGACCTTTAAGCTTTAGTACCATAATGGCCATAACATTGCTGCCCCCCCCCCCCCCCCTCAGGGTGAAGGAGTCTACGGGCTGGCAGCAGGTGTTCACCTCCCCCCGACTGGACTGGGTGATCGACAGGGTGGCTCTGAACGCTAAGGTGATGGCCGGCTCGCTGGGAGACAACGACAAGATGGTGGCCGTGGCGTCGGGGACGGAGATCATCCTGTGGGCCATCTGCCCCGACGGGAACGGAAACGAGATCGGTGAGGAGTCAACAAGTACTCTAAAGAGAGGAAATACTCTGGATTTAAAACACTCCAATACAAGTCAAACTCCTGCATTCAAATGTGAGAAACACTGAAATGATCCCGGGGGGAATTAAGAAGCTAAACATGTCTTCTGTACTTCCTCTAAGGTAAGAAGTGTTATCAGTTAAATGAGCTTTATACAGTAAAAGTACTCGGTGTACACAATGGCTCTTTTCACAGTATTATATTATATATCAGGGTTTAGTCTACACCAGGTAACAGGAGCGGAGATGCAGATTTTCCCCGTAAAATGTTAACGTGACGAACAGAAAACAATATTTCTGTTCGTCAAAAACGGTTTAATTCCTCCAGAAATCTGAATATCAAACAGAGCGCCAGACGGCAGAGACAGCTTTGTTTTTAAAGCTCCGACGTCACGTTGTTGTTTACGTCCACGGAGATAATTGATATATCTTCTAAACAAGATCAGAGACACAGAACTCGTACCATATCTTTCTAGAAACACCCCTGATATAATGCTGCTTATTGCTAATGACTACATGTAAGAGCATTCAAATGTACTTGTGGGTACTTTGTTAAACACTGGGTTGATTGGTAGTGGAGTACTGCATCAGATCATATTAGTATATCATTTCATATCATGAAAATAAAACACATGTATTATAAATACACCGGCTACATGTAACGCTGAGAATTGAGTTTCATATTATTTGACTTGTTAAGGCCCTCAATGTTTTAGTTCTCTCCTGATTATTTTAGTTTGACCCAAAAGTATGTTTTAATCATTTGAAGAAAAGCCCAAAACGTGCTTCTATAGGCCTGCTTTTTGCATTATCATTTATTTATTATATTAATCATATTTATTCTATAGGTTTTTACCTTAAAGGGGACCTATCATGCAAAATGCACTTGTGTACGTCTTTTCTACATGAATATGTGTCCCCGGTGTTCCAGGGAACTCACCAAGTGTCAGAAAACACAACCCTCTCTATTTTCCTCCATACCCAAATCTCTAAAAAAGGGGCTGCAACGGATCTGATAAAAACTGATCCAGATTTGAACACTGTCCTGACGTCAGGACGGTGGCGCTACGGCTATTGGGCCAACTCCACCAATCAGGAGGAGACAGCCACGGCCATTGCCGTTCGAAAGCGCTGGAGACGCTGTAGTACATATGCCAGGCCTCTAGATGGTGCTGTTCTCACTGAACCTGCCCTTGCTAAAACAGGGGTAAAAATGTGCAAATTGAGCAAAATGAGGCATGGCTAAAATGCATGATCTGTTTGGTATTTTGAAAGAAAAAAAAGTATAAATATGCCTTATATAGGTATGGTCCTACACTATATTATTCAAATATAGCATGATAGGTCCACTTTAAAGTAGTTTTCCCCAGCATGAAGTGAGGCTGATTGAAACCACCAATCAGATGAGGTGAAATCCTCTGAGTGTCTGACCTGTTTCTCCTGCAGGCGTCTTCAGTCTCAACGTGCCGGTGGAGGCTCTCTTCTTCGTTGGTAACCAGCTGATCGCCACCAGTCACGCGGGGAAGGTGGGGGTCTGGAACGCCGTCACCAAACACTGGCAGGTGGGTGGAGACACTCTTATCTTCACCAGTTGTAGCTACACCGGTCCAATAAATAAGGCCACGAACATACTGATGTCTTTTGAAGTTTTATTCTCTCCCTCTCGCTCTCTTTCTCCGAAGACTAAACTATAATAAATGAACAATTGAAAGTTTACATTAAGTTGTTTCAAGGTTTTTTGTAAGTGTCGTTACTGTTGTGTGAGGTTGTGTGTGTTTGTGCAGAATCAGGATGTAACGGAATAACACAGAGAGACTAATACAACACATTAATCATCACTAGAAAACATATCAAATCCCTCTTCATATGCACTCGTGTTACAGAGTTATATCCTGCTTTCTCCAGTGAGCTTACTTCTTGAATGTCGTCTAAATCAGACCTGGTTTCTCCTTGAGATCCATCAGGTTTTTTTTGTAGGTGTCTTTAATGTTGTGTGTGATGTTGTGCAGAATCAGGACGTGGTTCCCATCAGCAGCTACGACACCGCCGGCTCCTTCCTGATCCTCGGCTGCAACAACGGCTCCATCTACTACATCGGTGAGAGACTAGGATCTGAGTGTGGGAACCAATGACGGATGTTTGTAACCTGGGAAAATATCAGATATTAACACTCGCATCACTAAGAAACAGTACTGTAGATATATAAATATATTTAATATATTTAATTTATTTTATTTTATTTTATTTTATTTATTTTATTTATTTTATTTATTTTATTTATTTTATTTATTTTATTTATTTTATTTTACATTTTTTTACATTATTATTATTTGTATTTTATTTTACATTATTTAATTTCATTTATTTTATTTTACATTTTGTGTTATTTATTTTATTTTATTTTACCTTATAAAAGCGCAACTTTTAGATATTTTGAGATGTGACGGAGCAGGAGGTACTTTTTTAGACATGTGTCTGTTGTCTGTGTTGTTTCATCAGGTCATAATGGATCCCTTGTCTTTTACCTGCAAACCAAATCGACCTACGTGTACAAATAAATAACCTGTTTGTTTGTTTGTGAGCGTAGACGTGCAGAAGTTCCCTCTGAGGATGAAGGACAACGATCTGCTGGTGACCGAGTTGTACAGAGACCCGACTGAAGACGCCATCACCGCCCTCAGTGTCTACCTCACGCCCAAAACCAGTACGCTGCTCTATATACTGCTTTCCTTACACTCTTTCTAGTGCGCACATACAGGGCATCGTGCAAAACCACTACAGACATAATAAACAAGATCAAAACAGTAAATACAGCAGACAGAAAATACTAAATAAGTGACGAAAAAACTACAAAAAAACATGCATAGTCATAAATAATAACAATTAAGGGGAGGAAAGATAAACAAATGGATCAAGATATTAAGGTGCGGTAGTTTAGGGGATCATATTGTATTAAGTGTATACTACATTATTTTAGTAGCAGAGGCGTTACAGGTCCTCCATGTCGTATAACTCCCAATCCTCCAGGATCCAGTCGTTAGCTGGGGGTTCGGGTTTTAAACATCTGTACGTGATGCACTTTGATGGCTGCCGCTAAAAGGATTTGTAGTAAATATGCTTTCCCTCTGCCAGCAACCCCTTGTGTTTGAAGTGCGGTATTAAAAAAAGTGCAATGTAAAGACATGTAGTTTCGATATTATACTTCAAATCTAATTAAAATATCAAAATGGCAAATGGTGTTCAGGAATGGGTTAAAAAGACTGCATTTAACGAGCAAAACACATCATATTTGATCCATGCATAGCTAATTATAATATAGGTAAAATAGCTTATTTTTTAACACTGATCAAAAAGGCTCTAAAAGTGATTTAGGTTAATTATTATATATAAGTGTTCCATGCATCTTTGGCAGCCTTGTTCAAGTCCAGCCACAAATCAGGTACAGGTAAAATGTGACCTCATAACGTCAGTGATTTACCTGAGACGTGGTGGTGTGTTCAGGTGACAGCGGGAACTGGATCGAGATCGCGTACGGGACCAGCTCCGGGTCGGTCCGGGTCATCGTTCAGCACCCGGAGACCGTGGGCTCGGGACCGCAACTCTTCCAGACCTTCTCCGTCCACCGGAGCCCCGTCACCAAGATCATGCTGTCGGAGAAACACCTGATCTCAGGTACGAGTTATAGAGACACCTGGTCTCAGGTACGAGTTATAGAAACACCTGGTCTCAGGTACGAGTTCTAGAAACACCTGGTCTCAGGTACGAGTTATAGAAACACCTGGTCTCAGGTAGGAGTTATAGAAACACCTGGTCTCAGGTACGAGTTCTAGAAACACCTGGTCTCAGGTACGAGTTACAGAGACACCTGGTCTCAGGTAGGAGTTATAGAAACACCTGGTCTCAGGTACGAGTTACAGAGACACCTGGTCTCAGGTAGGAGTTATAGAAACACCTGGTCTCAGGTACGAGTTACAGAGACACCTGGTCTCAGGTACGAGTTATAGAAACACCTGGTCTCAGGTAGGAGTTATAGAAACACCTGGTCTCAGGTACGAGTTATAGAAACACCTGGTCTCAGGTACGAGTTATAGAAACACCTGGTCTCAGGTACGAGTTATAGAAACACCTGGTCTCAGGTACGAGTTATAGAGACACCTGGTCTCAGGTACGAGTTATAGAGACACCTGGTCTCAGGTAGGAGTTATAGAAACACCTGGTCTCAGGTACGAGTTATAGAAACACCTGGTCTCAGGTACGAGTTATAGAAACACCTGATCTCAGGTACGAGTTACAGAGACACCTGGTCTCAGGTAGGAGTTATAGAAACACCTGGTCTCAGGTACGAGTTATAGAAACACCTGGTCTCAGGTACGAGTTATAGAGACACCTGGTCTCAGGTACGAGTTATAGAGACACCTGGTCTCGGGTAAGAGTTATAGAGACACCTGGTCTCAGGTACGAGTTATAGAAACACCTGGTCTCGGGTAAGAGTTATAGAGACACCTGGTCTCAGGTACGAGTTATAGAGACACCTGGTCTCGGGTAAGAGTTATAGAGACACCTGGTCTCAGGTACGAGTTATAGAAACACCTGGTCTCGGGTAAGAGTTATAGAGACACCTGGTCTCGGGTACGAGTTATAGAGACACCTGGTCTCAGGTACGAGTTATAGAAACACCTGGTCTCGGGTACGAGTTATAGAGACACCTGGTCTCGGGTACGAGTTATAGAGACACCTGGTCTCGGGTACGAGTTATAGAGACACCTGGTCTCGGGTACGAGTTATAGAGACACCTGGTCTCGGGTACGAGTTATAGAAACACCTGGTCTCGGGTACGAGTTATAGAAACACCTGGTCTCGGGTACGAGTTATAGAAACACCTGGTCTCGGGTACGAGTTATAGAGACACCTGGTCTCGGGTACGAGTTATAGAAACACCTGGTCTCGGGTACGAGTTATAGAAACACCTGGTCTCGGGTACGAGTTATAGAAACACCTGGTCTCGGGTACGAGTTATAGAAACACCTGGTCTCGGGTACGAGTTATAGAAACACCTGGTCTCGGGTACGAGTTATAGAAACACCTGGTCTCGGGTACGAGTTATAGAAACACCTGGTCTCAGGTAAGAGTTATAGAAACACCTGATCTCAGGTACGAGTTACAGAGACACCTGGTCTCAGGTACGAGTTATAGAAACACCTGATCTCAGGTAAGAGTTATAGAAACACCTGATCTCAGGTACGAGTTATAGAAACACCTGGTCTCGGGTACGAGTTATAGAAACACCTGGTCTCGGGTACGAGTTATAGAGACACCTGGTCTCGGGTACGAGTTATAGAAACACCTGGTCTCGGGTACGAGTTATAGAGACACCTGGTCTCAGGTACGAGTTATAGAAACACCTGATCTCAGGTAAGAGTTATAGAAACACCTGATCTCGGGTACGAGTTATAGAGACACCTGGTCTCGGGTACGAGTTATAGAAACACCTGATCTCAGGTAAGAGTTATAGAAACACCTGATCTCGGGTACGAGTTATAGAAACACCTGGTCTCGGGTACGAGTTATAGAGACACCTGGTCTCGGGTACGAGTTATAGAGACACCTGGTCTCGGGTACGAGTTATAGAAACACCTGGTCTCGGGTACGAGTTATAGAAACACCTGGTCTCGGGTACGAGTTATAGAAACACCTGGTCTCGGGTACGAGTTATAGAAACACCTGGTCTCGGGTACGAGTTACAGAAACACCTGATCTCGGGTACGAGTTACAGAAACACCTGGTCTCGGGTACGAGTTATAGAGACACCTGATCTCAGGTACGAGTTACAGAGACACCTGGTCTCAGGTACGAGTTATAGAGACACCTGGTCTCAGGTACGAGTTATAGAAACACCTGGTCTCAGGTACGAGTTATAGAAACACCTGGTCTCAGGTACGAGTTATAGAGACACCTGATCTCAGGTACGAGTTATAGAAACACCTGATCTCAGGTACGAGTTATAGAGACACCTGGTCTCAGGTACGAGTTATAGAAACACCTGGTCTCAGGTACGAGTTATAGAGACACCTGATCTCAGGTACGAGTTATAGAAACACCTGATCTCAGGTACGAGTTATAGAGACACCTGGTCTCAGGTACGAGTTATAGAAACACCTGGTCTCAGGTACGAGTTATAGAGACACCTGATCTCAGGTACGAGTTATAGAAACACCTGGTCTCAGGTACGAGTTATAGAAACACCTGGTCTCAGGTACGAGTTATAGAGACACCTGGTCTCAGGTACGAGTTATAGAAACACCTGGTCTCAGGTACGAGTTATAGAGACACCTGATCTCAGGTACGAGTTATAGAAACACCTGATCTCAGGTACGAGTTATAGAGACACCTGGTCTCAGGTACGAGTTATAGAAACACCTGGTCTCAGGTACGAGTTATAGAGACACCTGATCTCAGGTACGAGTTATAGAAACACCTGATCTCAGGTACGAGTTATAGAGACACCTGGTCTCAGGTACGAGTCCCTGTGTTTGAAGTTGTTCCTGTCTGTGTTCTCTCAGTTTGCGCCGATAACAACCACGTGCGCACCTGGACGGTGACGCGCTTCAGAGGGATGATCTCCACGCAGCCCGGCTCCACGCCGCTCACATCCTTCAAGATCCTCAGCCTGGACGACGTGGACGGACACGGAGGCTGCAGCGCCGGGACAGAGATAGGTAACACACGCACGCACACACACACACACACAAGCGCGCACACACACACACACACACACACACACACACACACACACACACACGTTCGTAGAGGTCAGAGGGTCAGATTTACGTTTTGTGTCTTCAGGTCCGTACGGAGAGAGAGACGACCAGCAGGTATTCATCCAGAGAGTCGTACCTGAAACAGATAAACTCTACGTCAGGCTGTCGTCCAACGGGAAGAGGTGTGTGTGTGTGATCTTTACTAACAGATCAGCAGGAACATATCTTCTGTCCCGTGTTCAGAGTTTGAATCTTTATGGTTTTTGCACTTATTGTAAGTCACTTTGGATAAAAGCGAAATGGTGATGTGATTGGATGATCATATTGTGTGTGTGTGTGTGTGTGTGTCAGGGTGTGTGAGGTGCGTTCGGTGGACGGCACCTCCATCACGGCCTTCATGGTGCACGAGTGCGAGGGTTCGAGTCGCATCGGATCCCGGCCGCGGCGCTACCTGTTCAGTGGCCATGGCAACGGCAGCATCCAGATGTGGGACCTGACAACCGCCATGGAGATCGCCGGGAAGGTGGACATCAGAGGTGAGACCAGATCACTGTCAATATTCTATTATCTCATCTGACAGTTATAAGAAGTTATAAGCAGAGTTGGGTGTAACGCGTTACAAAGTAAGTTACTGTAATAATATTACTTTTGTCGGTAACGGAGTAGTGTAACGCGTTACTTTTATAATTCAGTAATCACACTACAGTTACTAACATTGCCCCGACACGCGTTACTTCGTTACTTTTATAAAATCAGTCATAATCACACTGACAGACAAGAGGGGTTTCCGCCGCAGGTTTATATGTACGTAATCTGCGCGACTTGCGCGTCCACATCTCCGCGTGCAGTGCTGCATAAACATGGCAGAGTCAGCGATAACTTTTGAGGGGTGGAGGTATGCCCATTATTTTGAGTTTGTCCGAAGAATAGACAGGAATGTGACGGTGAGGTGCAAACTGTGTCCAGGCCAGAAGCTGTTATACACTGCTGTAAACACCACGTCAAACCTCAACAAACACCTGCAAAGAACACATGCTAAGGTGAAGCTAATAGCTAAGGACCCCCGAACCCAGAGTGAGGATGTTGTGAGTCGCCGCCGCCGACTCCGAAGCGGCACAAATTAGAATTTGGAGGACCGGTAACCAAAGCAGAGATGGACAGGCTTGTAGCACCCTTCATAGTAGAGGTAATGTTGCCCATTTGCACAGTGGAATCACCATCGCATCGTTCAGAGATATACTGCGCAAAATACAGATAGCAGGAGACAGAGGACAGCCATAGTCAGAGCTATCTGGATCAGTCTTATGCGACAATGGAAACTGAACTAAAGAGAACATTTGAAACTTTAGCAGTCTGCGTGATCTGCCTGTAGGGAGGGGCGGGCCGGCACTGCGAGTAAAGTAACGAGTAAAGTAACGAGTTACTTTATGTAGAGAGTAACAAAGTAGTGAAATATATTACTTTTTTTTAAAGTAATATGTAATATATTACTTTTTTTTAGTAACGACCCCATCTCTGGTTATAAGTTAGCAAAATCAATGAAATGTAGGTAAATGATGCTTCTGTGTGTTGGCAGCTCCTCCCTTAAAACAGAAGCCTCAGATGTATTATAATAAGGAGAAATAGGAAGGGTGTATTTCAAGCTTTCAAGTCATTTGGCTTTTTTCTTATCAACTAAGATTTGTTAGAAAATGTTTCCAACTTTAATTGACTGAATTTATTTGAAAAGTGGTCTCTTATTAACACATGAATACTACTGTGTAATATATGTATACATTTATATTTAAGAATATAAGACAAGCACAAGTTTCATTTGTGGGCCATACTCCATTATACCTTTTGAATTTGCAGAGGGCCGATTCAAAATGGGCCGCATTTGGCCCCCGGGCCGTAGTTTGGACACCCCTGATTTAAACTAACAATCTTTGTTTTCTATGTGAAACAATTCTGCTCAGATCATCAGTGTTTTAATCAGGATTTAAAATCAATTCTGTTGATCTGATATCTGGGGCCTATACTACGAATCAAGATTTTCGTTTAGCAAGCTAACTTCAGGGGTTTCCGGTCCTACGAAGCTGGTTCACTTTTTAGCGGGCTAGATAACTTATTCTGAACGGCTATCCTCCGGAGCAGGATAGGTTCCAGGATAAAAGCACTGCCTGCTGACCAATCAGAGCTCAGTGTGCGGAGTTTAAAGCGATCAATTCATATGACAGGAGGAGAAAGGAAATACAGTTTAAACTGCCGTTGCAGGAAAGACAGCCGGCCAAAATCACCGGCTGTGTGAACGTGAAAATTAATAGAATATCCCCTCCTATCTTCAGAGCAATCTGACTATTATAACATTAGCGTTAAGAAAGCTTACTTAAATATCTGCCACGACATAAGTAACCGGATCAGAGTAACATTACGTACAGTCCGTGGCACTGTGAGTGCAGACGTCGATGTGTCCCATTATCATTCATATCATATCACATCATAATGTATCATATATTTCCTTATCTGAGTCAGCTGAGCCGTATCTGGCCGTGCAACACTCACAGTGTCACATACTGTATGCAGAAGTATTATTTTAAGCAACACATTAAGTTGACGAAACACTCGAGTCAAATGTAATTAAAGTCAGATCGTGTCTTGGACGGGGCAGTGATTTCATAAACCTGTTAATGTACGCATTCAAACACTTTTTCTGTTACCAGCTGTATTCACCTTGCAGGTGCAGCTATGTGGCTTTGATCCTGGATAAAGTGTTTAAGTCATGGATGTTTAAAGTTTAACTTCTTCATATTTGACTAATATTAAAGTTCACTTTTCATTCAGGAAGTATGACGCTGCGCTGTCAGTACGCTTCTCCATGTTTGAGATTGGTCGAATGCTCCAAATACCACTCCTTTCATGTGAACGCGCACCTAACTAGATAGCACACGGCTGGCTTGAGCGATCCACTTGATAACCAGCGTCGTAGTACAGTTTAGCGAGAGCGGGTTTTTTTTGGATTTAGTCAACCGGATAACTCAAAACATATCCAGGATATGTTGAACTAGATTCGTAGTACAGGCCCCAGGACAGAGGACAGGTGTTTTAACTAACTAGCTGTCATCCTCGTGCTTCATTTAGGAAATGTTTTGTTCTACATTTTGTATGATTAAGTGATGTGATGTCACAGTAAGTGATGGGACCTCTGTAATTGGTCAGTGATGGATGTGAACTCTGTGCTTGGTCGGTGAGTGATGTGAGCTCTGTGATTGGTCGTTGATAGATGTGAGCTCTGTGTGAGTGATGTGAGCTCTGTGATTGGTCGCTGATAGATGTGAGCTCTGTGTGAGTGATGTGAGCTCTGTGATTAGTCAGTAAGTGATATGTGCTCTGTGATTGGTCATTGATAGATGTGAGCTCTGTGATTAGCCAGTCAGTGATGTGAGCTATGTGATTGGCCAGTAAGTGATGTGAGCTATGTGATTGGCCAGTAAGTGATGTGAGCTCTGTGATTGGCCAGTAAGTGATGTGAGCTCTGTGATTGGTCAGTTAGTGATGTGAGCTATGTGATTGGCCAGTAAGTGATGTGAGCTATGTGATTGGTCGCTGATAGATGTGAGCTCTGTGTGAGTAATGTGAGCTCTGTAATTGGTCAGTAAGTGATGTGAGCTCTCTGATTGGCTGTCCCTCAGCGCTGGGCGGGCCCACAGAGGAGGAGCTTCTGGAGCTGTTGGACCAGTGTGACCTGGCGCTGACCCGAACACCTGACAGCACGCCACGGGCCTCCACCTGCAGGTACACTGACAACACACGTCCTGTTTTAAAGGGACTGGAGTTTATCACACCTACACATTTTATACAGTATCTTTAAAAGGTGTTCCCACTCTAAAATGAACATAAAGTAATGTATTTTGTACTTTTTTACATGTATACTGTCTCCGTTTTCAGTTAGAGAAATAAGAGCAGATATAGAAATAGTATTCAACTATTGTAAACACTGTTAAAATATAAATATACAAAAAAAGGAAATAACAATCTGACAAATTACTGTAAAAAATATGTATTTATAAATGTGTTCATCATAAATAAAAAATACAATACAAATATAATAAATGTCAATCAATCAATCAATCAGTGTTTATTTATTTAGCCCAATATCACAAATGTTACATCTGCCTCAGTGGACTTTACAGTTTGTACAGAATATCAATACGACAATACGACAAATGTAAAAAATATAGCAGTATATTTGACAAAATAGTTAATGATTTGCCGATTACTCCAAATCTTTATAATGTTTTTTTAACGTTGCTCCTGATGTATTATTAACTTCTTCCTGTCCCCGTAGCCTGTACTCTCAGATCGGAGACAACCTCCGGATGGAGCGCCTCCTCTCTCCTTCAGCGGGGGGTCACAGAGGAGGCGGAGCTTCTGGTTCTTCAGCCTCTCTGTGCGGCAGCCTCCCTCGACAAGCCCCGCCCCCTGTGCCTCTCTGTAAACCCGCCCCTCGAGACTCCGCCCCCTCAGGAGCTCCACAACAACAACAACCACAACAACAACCCCTCGCTATACCCGCCTACAACTCCAGCCCGCGGCCCCCCAGGCAGCGGGAGTGGGGGGGGGTCGATGCGGCGAGGCAGTTTCGTGGAGCGTTGCCAGGAGTTGGCGAAAGGCTCCGAGGCGGCGGGTGTTTCTGGGTTTGGGCCAGAGGGCGGGAGGCGGAGCTTAGCCGTGTGCACAGAACTCGAGGCGAGGTTTGGCCTCAGGACGCCGACCACCTTCTCCGTGTCGCCCGGAGCACGAAACTCCCCAGGAACGCCGGGAACGCCTTCTTCATCGTCGTTGTTGTCCTTGACGCCTTCCTCTTCATCGCCTTCTTCTTCGCCGCATCGCAAGGCCACGCCCACTCCGCCTACAAGCCCCGCCCCCCACCCCACTATGAGCCCGACCCGTTCCCAAGCGCCCGCCTCCCCAAGGCGTGGCGATGAAATGTCTCCGGATGAAACACCGGCATCAACGGAGAGTTCTGACACCCCCCCTGCCAACGCCGGACCCCCCAGCAGCCCCAAACCACACATGAATGAAACCAGCTTCTGATTGGCTGTCAGACTGATCCTTTGTTGCTATAGTTTAGGTCTAACTAATGTACTGGATGTCAGGAGGAGAAGAAACGGCAGGAAAACAGAACTATTTCAAACTGCAGAAAAGTCTCCACTAAAGCTGCCTTCATCATTAAAGAGCTGCTGGGATGTCGTATTCCTGTGTTGGACCCTGAAGGCAGCATCTCCCTGGTCCAATGGGATTCCTCCCTGTGGTTCTGGGTTATTGCAGTAAATAATCTTTGTGTCAAACAAACGTTTATGATACTAACACGTCATATTAACATCACTTTAACATCAGCTTTTTATATTTTGTTTGTCAGCAAATCTTTTCTATCCGGGAGCTTTTTGTATCTATAAAAAAAAAACACACAAAAGCTTAAAAAGTTTGTATAAAAGGTTTTGTTTTTGTCCTGACTAAATTCACTCTGATGCTCAAAATCACGTAGTCTTCAGCATGTGCCTGAACGCCTCACCGTCACAGCTCTCAGCTTTTGTTCTCTAGTTCACCATCAATGCTGCCAAATTAACTTCTGATATCTACAAAATAAAAATGTCTGTAACTTTTTTTTTTACTGATAATTTGTGTTTTTTGGGAAATAATTATACTTTAAAATAATATTGAAAACGTTATAATTGTATATTTACTGAATTGTATTTTTCACATTTTGCGTGTTTGGGTTAGTCATTATTTATACCATCAGTTTGTTAAAGCACCATTTTGTTGTATTTTCTATTTACGGCTTCATCGAAATATTACTTTTCACTTCACACATTTTCTGCTTATTTTCATCTAAAGTAACAGACAGAGAATCAGCACTTTGGAAACAGGGCTGAAACAGAGGGGATTATGGGTAATGCTGCAATGATCTGTTTGGTGTTTCAGCCAATCAGAGACAGGCTCTGGATATATCTGAGACCTGTGATATATTGATGAAAGAGAGGATAATAGGGGACCTTTAAGAAGAAGAATCGTTGCAGTTCTAAAAATTACCCATCATTTGCAATATCTTTCATCTGTCCTGGGAAAGGTTGTGAATATTTATTTTAGTTAATATTGTCATTAATTGTCACTGTTTATACAAAACATTCCACACTTAATTTAGTTTTCTTCTTTTCCTTTTGGATTTCCATATTTCCTACGGCCTGTGAATGCAGCATCTGTGGCTCTTCATGTAAACTGTATTAAACAGCTCCTAGTGAATGTAGAGACACTGAGTATTTGCGTTTGATACGATGGATCGTTTGTATAACCGTGTTTTTTTTTAACAGACTTTGTATTAAAAACAATAAAATAATGGACTCATAAAACCTTTTATTTCAAAAGCATTTAATCAACTAGTGACCAGCTATTCTGAAAACGTCTCTGCACAACAACAGGACACTTTATGACCTCAAAACGTTTCAGAGACAAGTTCACAGTTCACTTAAAAAAATACCTTTATATTAATAAAATATATTTTTTATTACAAAAATAAATGGTCCAGGTTTCTCAACTCGTCACGTTTACATCTAAGACAACTATTTCTACTATAATAAGTATACACATTTGGTAGAAGTACTCAGATCTTGTACTTGAGTAAAAGTAGAAGTACTCAGATCTTGTACTTGAGTAAAAGTAGAAGTACTCAGATCTTGTACTTGAGTAAAAGTAGAAGTACTCAGATCTTGTACTTGAGTAAAAGTAGAAGTACTCAGATCGTGTACTTGAGTAAAAGTAGAAGTATTCAGATATTGTACTTGAGTAAAAGTAGAAGTATTCAGATCGTGTACTTGAGTAAAAGTATTCAGATCTTGTACTTGAGTAAAAGTAGAAGTACTCAGATATTGTACTTGAGTAAAAGTAGAAGTACTCAGATCTTGTACTTGAGTAAAAGTAGAAGTACTCAGATCTTGTACTTGAGTAAAAGTAGAAGTACTCAGATCGTGTACTTGAGTAAAAGTATTCAGATATTGTACTTGAGTAACAGGGAAGAATTAGGATAAACTAAAGTACTTTATTCTGTCCATTGGATCCTTGGTTGAGACATTGAAAATGATACTTCAATTAAATGCAATGATGATGACGAAGATGATGAAGGTGTCTACAGCATCATCTCAAGTAGAAGCCTGTGTATGATGATGATGATGATGATGAAGGTGTCTACAGCATCATCTCCAGCAGCAGTCTGTGTAGCGGTACTCTTTGCTCCCGGTGTATCCTCAGCAGATTCCTCACGGCCCGGTCAGCGGTCTGTCTGAGGAGGGGGAGGCTCATCAGCAGCCGGCCCCCCCGGTGCCCCCCCCCCTTGGAGGCCTGGAGCTCCTGCAGTGCCCCCTGCAGGCCGTCCTGCAGCCGCTGCAGCGAGGAAGGGTCCAGAGGGTCCGCGTCTGATGGGGGGGGGAGAGGGGGACTTTAGTTATGTACAAAGTACTCCGGTGTGAACGCGCAAATATACAGAATAAACAGAGATGGCAAAAGTACACACATCCTTTACTCAAGTAGAAGTACAGATACTCGTGTTTAAAAATACTCTGGTGAAAGTAGAAGTACTGACTAAACTTCTTTACTCAAGTCAAAGTAAAGAGGGCTTTGAAATGTACTTCAGTAAAAAGTACCCATAACTAGCAGCTGTTTTAAAGAGTACCTGACCTCCCTTTATATTAATAGAACAATAATGTCATTGTTAGCTAATGAATGTTTCCATGCTGAACAACGGCAACATGACAACGTTTTCATTGGTCCCTCTTCTTTAGAGAAGACCAGAGGCCTGTACTACGAAGCTGGATGTTCTCTGAGCTGACTTCAGGGAAAACTCGGGCTTTCCGGTCCTACGACGCTGGTTCTCTTTTTAGCAGGCTAGATCTCCATGGTAACTTATGCTGAGCGGCAAACCTCCTCGGGAGGAGGTTAGGTTGCAGGCTAAGAGATCAACTCAGTGAAAGCACCGCCTGCTGACCAATCAGAGCTCCGTGTGCGGAGTTTAAAGCGATCAAGTCATATTACAGGATAGAGGAAATACAGAAAAAACTGCCGTTGCAGGAAAGACGGCCGACAAAAATCAACTGACTGTGTGAACGTGAAAATGAATAGAATATCCCCTCCTATCTTCAGAGCAATCTGACTATTATAACATTAGCGTTAAGAAAGCTTACTTAAATATCTGCCACAACATAAGTAACCGGATCAGAGTAACATTACGTACAGTCCGCGGCACTGTGAGTGCAGACGTCGATGTGTCCCATTATCATTCATATCATATCACATCATAATGTATCATATATTTCCTTATTTGAGTCAGCTGAGCCGTATCTGGCCGTGCAACACTCACAGTGTCACATACTGTATGCAGAAGTATTATTTTAAGCAACACATTAAGTTGACGAAACACTCGAGTCTAATGTAATTAAAGTCAGATCGTGTCTTAGACGGGGCAGTGATTTCATAAACCTGTTAATTTACGCATTCAAACACTTTTTCTGTTACCAGCTGTATTCACCTTGCAGGTGCAGCTATGTGGCTTTGATCCTGGATAAAGTGTTTAAGTCATGGATGTTTAAAGTTTAACTTCTTCATATTTGACTAATATTAAAGTTCACTTTTCATTCAGGAAGTATGACGCTGCGCTGTCAGTACGCTTGTCCATGTTTGTGATTGGTCGAATGCTCCAAATACCACCCCTTTCATGTGAACGCGCACCTAACTAGATAGGACACGGCTGGCTTGAGCGATCCACTTGATAACCAGCGTCGTAGTACAGTTTAGTGAGAGCGCGTATGTTTTGGATTGGGCCAACAGGCTAACTCAAACATATCCAGGTTAAGTTGAACCAGCTTCGTAGTACAGGCCTCTGGAAATGATGGATACACGGATCGTGTTCAAATCAATAGGCATGCAATGACTCCAAATAATAATGACCACGCCACCAAACACACATTCAAACTAAAGTAACCAGCCTGTTTGGAAAATGTGAGAAGTAGAAAGTACAGGTATTTGGGACACATGTTGATGTAGAAGAGACATGAAGAAGAGGGGACACATGTTGATGAAGAAGAGACATGAAGAAGAGGGGACACATGTTGATGTAGAAGAGACATGAAGAAGAGGGGACACATGTTAATGTAGAAGAGACATGAAGAAGAGGGGACACATGTTGATGTAGAAGAGACATGAAGAAGAGGGGACACATGTTGATGAAGAAGAGACATGAAGAAGAGGGGACACATGTTGATGTAGAAGAGACATGAAGAAGAGGGGACACATGTTAATGTAGAAGAGACATGAAGAAGAGGGGACACATGTTGATGAAGAAGAGACATGAAGAAGAGGGGACACATGTTGATGTAGAAGAGACATGAAGAAGAGGGGACACATGTTGATGAAGAAGAGACATGAAGAAGAGGGGACACATGTTGATGTAGAAGAGACATGAAGAAGAGGGGACACATGTTGATGAAGAAGAGACATGAAGAAGAGGGGACACATGTTGATGTAGAAGAGACATGAAGAAGAGGGGACACATGTTGATGTAGAAGAGACATGAAGAAGAGGGGACACATGTTGATGTAGAAGAGACATGAAGAAGAGGGGACACATGTTGATGAAGAAGAGACATGAAGAAGAGGGGACACATGTTGATGTAGAAGAGACATGAAGAAGAGGGGACACATGTTGATGTAGAAGAGACATGAAGAAGAGGGGACACATGTTGATGAAGAAGAGACATGAAGAAGAGGGGACACATGTTGATGTAGAAGAGACATGAAGAAGAGGGGACACATGTTGATGAAGAAGAGACATGAAGAAGAGGGGACACATGTTGATGTAGAAGAGACATGAAGAAGAGGGGACACATGTTGATGAAGAAGAGACATGGAGAAGTGGATGTTGCATACTAGGTGACCTTTAAAGCTGATAAGATAAGTCTGCTCTATGCACCTATCTATATATTAAAGGCATAATGGGCTTCCACAGATTCCAGCTTTTCAAATTGTCCAATTTACTGACATTTGACTTTGTATTTGTACTGATGGTAGACTAAACAATAAGTAGTGTAAAGGTTTGACTGTCCTTTAAGTTATTTTTTTATAGTTATGATTAATATATTTGAGGTTAAGGTGTTTTATAACATTTTGCAGTACAGTGTTTCAGGGACTGAATTTCAAAAAAAGAGTCTGTGTTAATCACAGGTCACTAGACAGTCAAGTGGGAAACCAAAGAAAGGTCAAGGTCAGCCTGTGGGTGTTTATACACACACACACACACACACACACACACACACACACACACACACACACACACACACACACACACACACACACACACACACACACACACACACACACACACACACACACACACACACACACACACACACACAGCTAACAGTTTATAGATCCAGAACCGAGTCTATCAATAAACTTTATTGACCCGAGGCTCAGACAGTGGGAGACTGACCAGACTTCAGCTGGAAGTGTCCCAGCATGCACTGCTTCAACAGGAGTGTGTAATGCAGTGATATTGATCAGCTGTTAAAACACAGCATCAACAACAACTCTATTTAAAAAAGGGTTTCCTATTTTGAGCTAAATCGTTCCATTGTTGTCCAAAAAGAAATCACTACAGCATCAAATGAGGATTCATCCGCCGCTGAAAATAGTCCCAATGCAATGTTTCCACCTTTTGTTTTAATACATCTGAACTGAGCAGCCAGTGCTTTAAGGAGGACATTGTATATATATTACGGGCGACAAACAATGATTAATCTATATGAACAAATTATAAAATATGACGTTTTGTTACGCTTTTAATATGCAATTCCTCATGAGGTAAATCACAAGGCAACAAATGCAAACTGTCATATTAATGCAGTAATGATACAGTATTTCACTCTGACGTGTAGCACTGTAGCGGGTAGTATGACATGGTAAAAATACACATGTAAAGTACCTCATATATGTACTTAAATACACACAAGAAACAACAACAAAATCATCATTGTCCAAGTAATTAAATGAACTATAAGGGACACTTGGAGTGTACAGACCTCAGATATCGCATTGTTAACGACACTTTTAATTAATGCATGTGTTAGATCAAAGGTTTTGCAAGCATGCTAGTCCATGATACACACTTTCATTACGTTTCATATCAATTGGGCTCGTAGTATTTCCGTAATCCCGCTGACAAAGAACCAATATTTAAACCGATTACACCAGAATTAGAAAAGACCAAATGCCATTCCCCCCAAAAGTTATTGGGGCTAATCAATACTGAGCTGCTTCAGCTCCCAGCCTCTGATCAATATCAGAAACACTCCTCTGGATCAATACGCTCTGACGCCCTCCCCCCAAAAACTTCTCCTCTCAAATTTTAAATCAATATCAGTATTCATGTGTCTGTGTCAGGGTCAGGGGCACGGGGGGAGGGATGGCACAGATCACACCAGAAAGACTGAGAAGGTTAGAGAAGTGTCAAAAGAACTATCATTTCACGGGAAGACTAGAGGTAGAGGAATGAGAGAATCTGGTGAGGGGTATTTCCAAATATCTGGAACAAACTCCCAGAAACCTGCAGGTCCGCTGCAACTCTGACTACTTTTGAATCCAGACTTTTCTTTTTGCCGCTGCTTTTAAATGAACTATTCACATCTCACTCTGCTCTGTAACTTTTATTCATGAACCTGTTATTCATGTTTTATTATCTTTGCTTTTTAATGTTTCTAATGTGTGTTTGATGCTCTTAATGTCTTTCATTTTTGTAAAGCACTTTGAATTGCCTTGTTGTTGAAAAGTGCTGTATGAGGCCCCGTCCACACGGAGACGATATCAGTTGTATCCGCTAAAGTTCTTTATCGTATAGACCAGGGATCACCAACTACATTTGTCCAAGGGCCCAAATTATTCCGAGAGACATTTTCGGGGGCCAGCGATTTTTTTTATAGCCCTGAATTTTGAAGTTGTTTACCGGGGGGGGGGGGGGGGGGGGGGGGGGGGTGCTTGTGGAGCACGCTCATGTACTGTCAAGTTGCGGGAGCCTCGTAGCGGGGGCTGCTGCGGAGCACATAAAGCAGACTCTTCACGCTAACGAAGGATCACTTCTTCTTCAGGGCAGGGAAGGCTACGCAGTGCGCAGGCTACTGTCCCGCAGCTGCTGCCTCTCTGTTGGACTGCGGTACTGCACATTACTCACGAGACGTTGTAAAAGAAATGTAGTGGGGGGCGAACGCACTAACCACTCCACCAGCGCCATCGGTTTCATCTCCGTGTGGACGGGGCCTAAACAAACTTGCCTTGCCTTAAAAAATAAAGTTATTAAAAGAGAATATTTTACAAGTGGGTTATGATCGATCGTAATAAAAAATATTTGTAATTCCAATACAAGACTATGTTATTAAAAAAAAAGCTTAAATGAAATTAAAAAGGTTTGGAAATTGTAAGATATGGTATTGCAATTGCTAGAAAAATATATTATAACTAGAAAATGCATTTCCTGCAGAAAATGCGTGCGAATGCTGTAAACTGTGAATGAATTTAGCTGAAAATGCAGAAAAAGCTGAATATGTTATTAGCTGAATGGTAGCTGCTTTTAGCTACAAAAATGCAGAAAAAGCTTAATATTTAAAAGAAAAGATTTAAAAAAACATGTATAGCCTTGATGTCCTGAAATAGCTGAATAATGTAATAGTTGAATGGTTTCTGCAGCTGAAAATAGGCTGAAGGAGTTAAATATCAGATGTAAGTAGTAGTGAATGAATTTGTATTAAGATGAGAAAAGAAAGTAAAAAGGCTTGGGAAAGCAGCAGAATATTTGAACTGCAAACTTTTGAACTAACTTGATGGTGAATTATCTGTCGCGATGGCAACGGCATTTGATGACACCCCATAATACGCTTAGATGTGTTGATGGCTGCATCGTTACCAAACCTGTGAAGTTTTGGGCCATTTCGATCATTTTCACTGAAGTTATGAGAAAACCGTGTTTCATGGTGAGCATTGTGTTGCCATGGCAACGGCATTTGAAGAAATCTCAAAACTGTCCCGTATATGTCTTCACGGCTGGACTGTTAGCACACATGTGAAGTTTGAGCACTTTTTGAACATTCATAGGAGTAATACATTACATTAGGAGGTTACATTACTCTCTCTCTTCTCTTGATCGCCCTCTCTCTTCTCTTGATCACCCTCTCAATCTTCTATCGCCCTCTCTTTCTTCTCTTGATCGCCCTCTCTCTCTTCTCTCTCTCTTCTCTTGCTCGCCCTCTCTCTCTTCTCTTGATCGCCCCTCTCTCTTCTCTTGATCGCCCTCTCTCGCTCCTCTTGATCGCCCTCTCTCTCTCCTCTTGATCGCCCTCTGTCTCTTCTCTTGATCGCCCTCTCTCTCTCCTCTTGATCGCCCTCTCTCTCTCCTCTTGATCGCCCTCTCCCTCTCCTCTTGATCGCCCTCTCTCTCTCCTCTTGATCGCCCACTCTCTCTCCTCTTGATCGCCCTCTCTCTCTTCTCTTGATCGCCCACTCTCTCTCCTCTTGATCGCCCTCTCTCTCTCTTCTCTTGATTGCCCTCTCTCTCTCCTCTTGATCGCCCTCTCTCTTCTCTTGATCACCCTATCACTCTTCTATCACCCTCTCTCACTTCTCTTGATGTGTCTGTGAGAGAGAGGGAGTGTGTGTGTGTGTGTGTGTGTGTGTGTGTGTGTGTGTGTGTGTGTGTGTGTGTGTGGGAGAGAGAGAGGAGAGTGTGTGTCTGTCTGTCTGTGAGAGAGAGAGAGAGAGAGTGAGTGTGAGTGTGAGTGTGAGTGTGAGTGTGAGTCTGTCTCTCTGTCTGTCTGAGAGAGAGAGAGAGAGAGAGAGAGAGAGAGGTAGTGGTGAATGTTTACAAACACCTGTGTGTGTAAACCCAGAGATGAAAGGTTACCATGGTGACGACTTATGACAATTTACCCACTGCAGCACTGAGTCCCATTAAGAATGCATTGAGGTTTGTATCTGACAATTTTGCCACCTGTTCAAAAACCATGGCTCCTATCAAAAAATGACCAGACCGTGAGCATCAGGGAACCCCAATGAACTGATATATGTTGGTTTTTTTGGTTTTGTGTGTAAAATGTGGAGATGGGAGCAGTTTGTCTAAAGTGTACTTCTCTCTGTTCTGAAGAAAGTTCCGGAAAGATTTAACATGGGAATCAATTGGGAGCTAGGTGGACTTTTTGTCTCTTCATGCCCTCAAGAGGCATTTTGTTTAATATTTCTTTTTAATTTTTTTTTATTTCCAACCTAGGAGAGGTTTTCCTACGTTTTTCATGAAAAAATATGTCTGAGGAGTGTAGGGTTTGGGAATTATGGCAAGTTTAAAACATTTTTTGGGGAGCACTGCTGCACTCTGTTTTGAGATCAAAGCACTCTAGACTTAACGAGCTGCTCCATCCACACTAATGTTAAAATCTGAAGAAAGCCTCTTTACCAAGCTCCAAACAAAGTTAATTATCTCAAGAAGTGTAAAAGATATCAAAAATAAAAGTCAAGTTTGAATAGCTGAAGGTGTTGTGATCATTTGAAAGTTGGAATGAAGTGTCTAGCTGAAAGTATGTGGAAGGAGTAGCATTTGGCGCAAGGTGTAGGAAAAGAGGATTTGAAGGCATCTCCCATTGACTTCCATGTTAAAAAAAGAGTTTAAAAAGCTGAATATTTCAAAAAGTATAAAATATTTTTAAAAAGTTGAAGGTTTCCCATCGATTCCTGAACAGGCTGAATAGTTTAATATTTGAATGGTTTCTGTAGCTGAAAATAAGCTGAAGTTATGGAGTGCCAAAGTATTGGCTGAAATAATAAGGGGAAGAATAAAGATTTGAAGTACTATAGTGGAATGCTGTGGCACAGCATTCGCACTAATGAAATTATTTCATAATTAGAAGAAAACTTCTTCTAATTCTAAATAAAAATCGTGTACTTCATAGAACGTTTCACGATTTAACAGAAAATATCTCGTATCATATATAAAATGTTGTGATTATGTGTGTGTGTGTGTGTGTGTGTGTGTGTGTGTGTGTGTGTGTGTGTGTGTGTGTGTGTGTGTGTGTGTGTGTGTGTGTGTGTGTGTGTGTGTTATTTAAAATCCAGTTAAATAAGAGAACATTTTACAAGTGTGTGACAACCGTCGTAATTAAAAGTAATTGGTAAAGAAAACTAAATCATGTGTGTGTGTGTGTGTGTGTGTGTGTGTGTGTGTGTGTGTGTGTGTGTGTGTGTGTGTGTGTGTGTACCAGTGTTAGCGAGGGCCATGGCCTTCAGCATCACCGCCTCCTCAGGGCTCATATTCATCGCCTGATATTTGGCGCTCAAGTGTCGCAGCGCCTCGTAGAGATCGGCCAATCCCGCGGCTCGACACTGAGCCTCGTCCAATCGCAGGTTCTCGGCGAACACAAGCTCCTCCCCCTGCGACCGCCAGGCCACGCCCACCAGCAGCGCCTCCATCCAACCGCTCTGCAGCAGCAGCATCTGGTCGACCAATGAGAGCGCGGCGAAACCTGAGAGACAGAACAGGTGAGTCTGGACGTAAAAAAAAAGTGGAAAATAAACAGACGAAAAGATGACATGTCGAAAAAAAGTGAAAAAGATGACAAGTCCGTAACTGTCGAAAAAAGTGGGAAAGAAGACAATAGAAACAAGTTAAAAATAACGACAGTCGAAAAAAAACGACAGTCAAATTAAGTGAAAAAACAGACCAAAAAAGCGAAAAAAACAATAGTCTAAATTTTAGACTATTGTTTTTTTCACTTTTTTTGACTGTCGTTTTTTTTTTACCTTTTAGACTCTAAAAGGTAAAAAAAAAAAACGACAGTCGAAAAAAGTGAAAAATACGACATTAAAAAATATGAAAGAGAACTACAGTCAAAAAAGTGTAGAAAAACTGACCAAAAAAGGATAATCACGACATACTGTATTAACGTGTTGAAGTAATCAAAACGATATTCTTCAGTGTGAAAGGTGACTGACCTGGGATCTGTTTGGCCCAGCTAATCAGGAGCAGCAGCTGGCGGTTTAGGAGGTCACAGAGGGTCAGCACGGTGCTCAGGCTGCTCTCATTGGTCGACTCGTCCTGAGTGGCGGACAGGGGAGCGGGTTCTGTCAGCAGCAGGTGGGAAATCACCTTATTTCCTGATTTAAAACGGAACATGTGATAATTAATGAAACAGGTTTTAAAGATCTCCTATCATGCTTTTTTTAGGCATATATTATAGTTCTCAGATATATACAAAAACATAAAAAAACATGTCTATGATGTGTTTTGGTCAAAATACCAAACAGATCATGCATTTTAGACATCCCTCTTAAAAAAAGAGGGGGCGGAGCTAATGCCTGCTCAGAATTACCCAGCAGATAGTCAGCTAAATGCTGCCGTGATTAAACTCCATATCATGTTCCAAACCACATCAAGGCTTCTCTCTGAAACAGTATGGAGCTCAAACTCTTTCTCTCTCTCAGGTTTACCACAAGGTGAGTTCCTTTGTATTTCCTGCTTCTTTATACTCTCTCCAGTACAGGTTAGCTCTGAGTGTTAGCATGCTAATGTAAACACAGACCATATTACGTCCAAAACACGTCTCATTGTTTCTGACAGCAACGTTTCTGATAGGCCCGTGGGTGTAAAGCCCGCCCACATTTCAGATATGACGTCATATCGGACGCAAATCTGGATCAGCTCCGTTGTTCCCCCGTTTTTAGAGATGTGGGTACGGAGGAAAAGAGAGAGGGTTTTATTTCCTGACGCTGTGTAAGTTCCCCGACGCAATGGGGACACACCGGGGACACACCGGGGACACACCGGGGACACACCGGGGACACATGTTGATGTATAAAAGACATCAAAAAGTGCATTTTGCATGATAGGAGAGCTTTAATAAACTAACAGATGGACTCCATGTTGTTTGAACTCACGGCAGCTGGCAGGGGGGCTGATGGGGGTTTTGCAGTAAAAAGTGACTCCGCTCTCCGTCGGTCTTTTGTATTTCTGACGCCCTCCTCTCACTCTGTCCATACGAACACCTGAAACACAGAGGGGGGGGGGGGGGGGGGGGGAGGGGGGGTTACCTTTCAGCTTCATCTGCTTCCTCCTTTCCTCTCCCCACAGCTTTTAAAGGTTTTTAAACCAGAAACCATCAAATCTGAATCTCTGCAGCCGAATGAAATATAAAATGACTACAAATCAGCTATAACTTTTCTTGGCTACAAAGAGTATCTCTCTTTGCTGTAGTGCACATTTTAGGACGATGCATTTGCTGTAATTCCTTTTTTTTCTAGAATGTTTGCAAATTATTTTGTCACTTTATGGTCAATTTGCATCTCTTGTTGTCACTTCACATCTTCCTCCTAACTCTTTGATTCCCTGGAGTCATGATGAATGTCTTTGAGGTCATTTTGAGTTGTATTTGTCCAACTCAAAATGTCGTAATTAGTCTTTTAATGTCTTTTTGTTGTATTTTTGCATCCCTTTGTAGTCCTTTTCCGTCTCTTTGTAGTAGTTTTGTGTCTCTGTCGTTGTTTTGTGTCTCTTAGAAGTAGTTTTCTGTCTATTGTAGTCATTTTCTGTGTCTTTATAGTAATTTAATGCCTTTCTGTAGTTGCTTCGTCTCTGCAAACATTAAAACTGAGCTCTCTCACTCCTAGCAGACTCTTGACATCGCTGCAAAGGCTCATGGGAGCTGAACGTACCCTCCCTCATCATGCCGGCCTGCAGACACTTCTGGAAGCGGCACGCCTGACACGCCTTCCTGCGGCGCTTCGTGATCTCACACTCGCTCGCCACCGGGCAGCTGTACTCAATGTTACCTAGGCAACAACAAACAGGAAGTCAAACGACATCACACCCTCTCTCCGAGACACAGCTGACAACACAATGTTTTCATCATAACTTTAACTTTAAGTGCACTGAAAAAATTGAAACGTTGACTTAAAGTGGACCTATCATATTTGAATAATACAGTGTAGGACCATACCTGTATAAGGCATATTTATACTTTTTTTTTTTCAAAATACCAAACAGATCATGCATTTTAGCCATGCCTCATTTCGCTCAATTTGACATTTTTTAGCTCTGTTTGTGCAAGGGCAGATTCAGTGAGAACAGCACCACCTACTGGCCTGGCATATGTACTACAGCGTCTCCAGCGCTTTCGAACGGCCGTGGCTGTCTCCTCCTGATTGGTGGAGTTGGCCCAATAGCCGTAGCGCCACCGTCCTGACGTCAGGACAGTGTTCAAATCTGGATCAGTTTTTATCAGATCCGTTGCAGCCCCTTTTTTTAGAGATTTGGGTATGGAGGAAAATAGAGAGGGTTGTGTTTTCTGACACTTGGTGAGTTCCCTGGAACACCGGGGACACATATTCATGTAGAAAAGACGTACAAAAGTGCATTTTGCATGATAGGTCCCCTTTAAAGGTAGTATGTCAACTGATTTCACATAATTTTGTTAGGTTAGTTGAAAGCAATAATATTAAGTTGAATTAAAAAAATATTAGGTTCAACTTAATATTAACGCTTCAAACTAACCTAATACAGTTATGTGACATTTGTTGACATAATACATTTAATAAAAGTCAACTTTTCAGTTTTTTCCGTGTGTTTGAGGAGCTGGCCTTTACGAACAGATGTGAGGGTCTCGTCAACTATGAAAATATGAAAGGTTTTCATATTTCAAAATACCAATAGTTATACATGTGTGTCTTTGTTTTCGCAGAGACTGGCTGCTTTAAGGCGATATTTGAGTGGTACTTTGAACCCGTCCGTTGTATTACATGAAGCATGATCACATCCCGAGAAAACACATGCATCTGCAGAGGAAGTACATCACATGTTTCGGGTACATCTTTTCATTTAGAGGAACAGCTCGAGGTATGATACACGGCTATAACATGTTCCTTGTTCTAATCCTGCTGACATTAACCAAACAAAACCAACAACACTATAATATAATGTCTTGAAGTAGAAAGTAGAAAAGGAGTGACCTCAACTTAAGTTCTCATAGTCGTTGATCTGTATCGCCTCTTTGCTCGCATGCACGTGTTTAAACACACACACAGATTAAAGAATCGATCAGACACGACTAATCAATCACCAATCAATGGGTTTCTGTTGCTCTGGTCTGAGTCCTGCTGCAGCTGGTGTGTGTTCTCGCTGCTTCACACACTAATCAATGCACTATTGATATGGTATGTTATCCTTTTGGTACTTTAACTATATTTTGATGAAAATACTTTTCTACTTTCACTTGAGGAACATTTTGAATGCAGGACTTTTAGTGTAACAGAGTATTCCTACACTCTGGTACTTCTACTTTTACTCAAGTACTAGATCTGAGTACTCCTCCTTCCCCCTCACCTTGCACGCTCCTCTTGAAGAAGGCCTTGCAGGCTTCACAGGATGCGACGCCGTAGTGGAACCCGGAGGCTCGGTCTCCACAGACCAGACAAAGCCTCCGAGGCCCCGGGGCCCCCAGAGGCAGGAAGTCCCCCCTCAGGATGGAGTCCACCTGTGAAGAGGAGGCCAACACTCAACATCTGCACTTCTGCAAAAAGAATTAAGCTTAAAGGTCCCCTATTATCCTCTCTTTCATCAATAGATCACAGGTCTCAGATATATCCAGAGCCTGTCTCTGATTGGCTGAAACACCAAACAGATCATTGCAGCATTACCCATAATCCCCTCTGTTTCAGCCCTGTTTCCAAAGTGCTGATTCTCTGTCTGTTACTTTAGATGAAAATAAGGAGCCCCTCCCCACGCCCCTCTGAGAGAGATTTGGTTACAAAGAACTCAATGGTGCTCTAGGAGGAGATTCAGGTGATAAGGTGGGGGGGGGGGTTACCTTGGTTGCTGATTGGCTAATGGTTACACAAGACAAAACATCGTTATGACATCATCAAGTGGCCAAAATCTGATCAGCTCATTTTCAGACAGGTTTTTATAGAAATGGATCAAAAAGAGAGAGAATCTTTGTTCCTGAAACTTTCAGATCATGATTTGGCGATGTGTCGTCCGCGCTCCGTTAGCATAGCATTAGCTGTCTTACCTGTTTCTTGATGACCGTAAAAGTAGTTTTTCTGCTTCTCTCATTTCGAGGCTTCGATTTTAGAAATTCTAAATGATCACTAAAACAAGTGATCATTTTGAATTTCCTTAAAGTCTTTTTAGTCATCTGTTCAAGTGTGTCTCTTTGGTGTTGTGCTTCCTTGGTCGTCCTTTTGACACCCTGTTGTTGTTTGTCGCCTCTTTAAAGCAGTGTTGTGACTCTTTGAGCTCCTTCTTGTTATTTTGAGTCTTTCTGTTGTCCTTTTATGTCGGCTTTAGTATTTTTGCGTATGTTTTTCTGCCCCTTAAACCTAATTTAGAGTCTCTTTAAGAGGGTTTGGAGTGTTGTTGTGCACCTGTTTGTCACTCTAAGTGTTTGGTTGCATCTCTTGGTTGTTTTGAGTTTACAAAGAATATAAAAAAGATCTTCACCTGTGCTGAAAACGAGTCCGTCTGCGACACTGAGAAACACACGGAGGCCTCGGACACCGCCATGCCTCCGCTGCTGGAGGGGAACCCAGAAGCACAGCAGAACGAGGAGGAAGACGAGGAGGAGGAGGAGGAGGAGGAGGCCCGGTGAGAGGGGCTGAGGGAGGGCATGGTGTCCAGGCGGAGAGACGGGCTCTGGGGGGAGGAGAGGAGGAAGGAGGTTGGAGACGGAGCTTCATCAGTGAGGCAGAACGAGGAGGAAGAGGAGGAGGAAGAGCAGTCCATGAAGCTGAGGAGGAAGGGTGAGAGCAAACAGAGATGGAGATGAAGAATCTTAAAATGAAATGCTTTTATTCTGAAAGTCCTCAAACTGTTGTGCTCTTTCTTTTCGTACTAAATGTTCATTTAAATGGGACCTATCATTGTATTTATACTATACTTAAAGGGGACCTATCATGCAAAATGCACTTTTGTACGTCTTTTCTACATGAACATGTGTCCCCGGTGTTCCAGGGAACTCACCAAGTGTCAGAAAACACAACCCTCTCTATTTTCCTCCATACCCAAATCTCTAAAAAAGGGGCTGCAACGGATCTGATAAAAACTGATCCAGATTTGAACACTGTCCTGACGTCAGGACGGTGGCGCTACGGCTATTGGGCCAACTCCACCAATCAGGAGGAGACAGCCACGGCCATTGCCGTTCGAAAGCGCTGGAGACGCTGTAGTACATATGCCAGGCCAGTAGGTGGTGCTGTTCTCACTGAATCAGCCCAGAGCTAGAAATGGTCAAATAGAGCGAAATGAGAAAAAAAAAAAGTATAAATATGCCTTATATAGGTATGGTCCTACACTATATTATTCAAATATAGCATGATAGGTCCACTTTAAATGTTTTTCAGAGGTGTAAAGAAACTAAGTCGATTTTGAGATGTTTGTATTTTACTTTGACATTTTATTTTTGCTGTTCGTGATTACAACTCCCTCCTGGTTTTAATAAAGGTTAAACAAATCTATGAAACAAACATCTAAACATACGTCTGAAGGGTGTTTCGATGAGAAGAAGATGGAAACAGAAAAACAAAGAGGTTTCTCACCACTGTGTGCCGATGAAGCGACACTCGTCTGTCAGACAGAAATCCTTCAGCTCCATCCTGATCCAGGTCAGCAGAACAATTCAAATAAAAACTGCTTCAGCGGTGCGTTCAAACACTCCGTAAAAAAGGGTTTTCTGATGCTACTTTAAGGTCCAATAAAAAATAGTCAAACGTTGAAGAAAGATGATTTAAAACTCTGAGCCTGCGTTTCCTGCAGAAAGAGTAAACATGGGGGGTAAAGAGGACACAGATAATCGTCTGATGATCAGAGGTGTCTCGCCTGTCATTTATATGTCTCCACTAAGGGGGCGGGGCCTGGAGGATCAGCCAATCAGAGTGCAGCATCCCTTCTTCTTCTCCTATCATCTCTATTGATCTGACAGTGACAGATGTAGGCCGTGTGAAGCTGCTCATGCTGCTGTCCACCTGCACCATTCAACATGCTTTATTATTATTAATACAACAGATAATTAAATATCACACGTTTAGACAGTTAAAAAAAATGTGTTTTTCTTTTTTTTATTATTGATTATTTTCCATGTAGGATGTATAATGCTTAAAAAAATAATACATAAAACAAGAATACTTTTTAAAATTATTAAATGTTAAGTAAAATGTATAATACAAGTAATGATAATAATAATATTATAATCATTTTTAAATGTCATTCCAAATTTTGACTTTTTAACAATATCTTTAATAACAAATTGCACTATGACTTGTGATAATTTTTAGGACAAATTAATCTATGACTTTTTAAAATATCTTTTAATAACATACTATACGATGAATATTTCCACAACCTTTTGATTTCGTACTAAACTATGTTGGTTTGAACTACATTTGATTTCAAAGCTTGAATAACTTAGCAGGTTCTGATTAATAAAAAGCAATGTATTAAGTAATGTCACTTTTATCAGCGTCAACAGGTGAGTTTTCAGTGAGTCATCCCCAAAATGTGTGTGTGTGTGTGTGTGTGTGTGTGTGTGTGTGTGTGTGTGTGTGTGTTCATGTATTTCAGCCTGGTGTGTCTTAGTTTTGTATGTAAGCTGATATTCTGCAGGCTCACAGTTTCAGCCTCAGCACTGGGTGAACCCCTGTAATCCCATTAGTGCTGTCTGAGGCTGAAAGTGTGTGTGTGTGTGTGTGTGTGTGTGTGTGTGTGTGTGTGTGTGTGTGTGTGTGTGTGTGTGTGTGTGTGTGTGTGGAGGGGTGTGTGTGTGTGTGTGTGTGTGTGTGTTGGCCTACAATAAGGTGGCTTAGAGTCCTACATTTAAACGGTGCAGGCATTAGGGTTGTGCATCTACGTGGAGGATTAGCACGTTAGCATTCAATCTAAAAATGCTACGACATCGGAAACTGCTTTGTGAAATCTCCCAATAATAATAAGTAACATATATTTTAAAATGTATTTTACCAAATCACTGCATTATTTATATCACACAAATCTTGTTAGCAAGATAGTTCAGATAAGATATTATATGGAGACAATGGCCCAATTCCAAACCGCCCCCTACACCCTAAACAATACCCTTCCGCCACATTTAAGGTCTCCTATCATGCAAAATGCACTTTTTGATGTCTCTTATACATAACGGTGTGTCAGGAGACTCACAAAGTGTCAGAAAATAAACCCCTCTCTCTTTTCCTCCGTACCCACACGGAGCTGATCCAGATTTGCTGCGTCATGACGACATTACTAAAGTGTGGGTGGGCTTTACACCCACGGGCCTATCAGAAACGTTGCTATCAGAAACAATGAGACGTGTTCTGGAAGTAATATGGTCTGTGTTTACATTAGCATGCTAACACTCAGAGCTAACCTGTACTGGAGAGAGTGTGTAAAGAAGCAGGAAATTAAAAGGAAGTCACCTTGTGGTAAACCTGAGAGAGAGAAAGAGTTTGAGCTCCATACTGTTTCAGAGAGAAGCCTTGATGTGGTTTGGAACATGATATGGCGTTTAATCACGGGAGCATTTATCTGAATATAATTCTCCTGCATGAGCTCTCTTGCACTTTAGTAACAGCTGCAATAGAGGGGTTTGAGGCTAGAATGGGTGATCTGTTTGGTATTTTGAGCAAAACCCTTCACATACATGTTTTTTATATCTGAGACCTATAATATATGTTTAAAAATAGTTGAATAGGAGACCTTTAAGTGTCCAAACCAACGAGTGTGGAGGAGGAGTGGGTTATCAAGCCCTCCAACAGAGAGTCTGCATCACCTGACTTCCCCTGCTGCTCCACCTGACCGACCAACGTGTGTGTGTCCGTCAGGGAACACGCTGCTTACAAACAGTTCCAACATTCACTGATAAACTGAACAACAAAAAATAAGAAGCTTATAAACATCAGGTTTTAAAACTAAAAGAGGTTTACAAAAAAGAAACACAATTAAAGAGTTTTTGAGTTTTTTTTTTTTTTTATCCAAGAGATGCTGATTTGAAAGTTACGGTATTTCCTGTTTCATCCGGAGAGAGGGGAGTTTGTTCCAATGCTTGCCGCTTAATTTACACCCTTCGTCTGAAAGGAGGGAGCCTCGTTCAGCTGTGAGTGTGACTTCAGACGGAGGGGGAGTGGCAGTGGTTTGGAATTTGTCCTCCATTTACTTCATCACTGATTCAAAGGGTGGGTTTATACATTTAAGGGTTAATAATCTCTCATGTAAAACCAATGCCGAATTTACCATATACATTGGGGGACACACATCTTATTCCAACACATTCTCACTCCCAACTCGTCACACATATTGGCGATCGGTCAGGGCCCCTTCACGTCACCTTATTACGCACTGGGTACCCCTCGAGCGTCAGTTTTCAACGGGCAGGGCGTCCCATAGCAACCTGGTCTCACCAAAATACGTGAAATGAACACGACTCCTTAACACCGCATTACGTGGTGGGGACACACATTTCTGCACAACACACTCTCACTTCATAAACGTCCAGGAGCGACGCTTGGTCAACTGATTGCAATGTATTCCCATCTGCGGCGGGATTTGACGCTCATGGAAGCACCGCATCCGTTTGTGTCGGAGGCTGTTAAAGGCAATGTGAGCGTCCATTCCCATTGGATAACGGAGAATTGTACACCCGGAAGTAAGTATTCCCCTTACTGTCGATTGATTTGACAGTGATATCTGCACTACTCATCAACTCAAAAACACCAGATTATCCTTGTTAATTAAACGACATTGATAGGTTTTAGTGTACAATGCTTTTGTCACGTTTTCCCCTTCAATTCTGAGAAACAAGTCGTTTTCTATGAGTTTTGGATGGCCGAAGACATTACATTACCCACAATCCTCTGTAGCAACCATAGACTGTATATTGCAACAGGCAACAGCTTCGGTTCATGTTAATTTACAAACTCTTCAACTACAACCGTTGTTATATTTAAAAACATGTTAGAAGGCCTCACGAAATACTTTAATGTAAATTCAAATTTAAATGTGAAGGAATGTGTGTATATTAACTGTGGGTCTTTCTCTGGAAGTTTTTCCTTGTACGATGTGAGGGTCAAAGGACAGATGATGCCGTTTTCTCATACTGATATTCCGCTATGCACGCTGGGATTTGGTGTTTATGCGATGTGAAATCCGAAAAACATTTAAAAAAATTAAATGGCCCATATCATGGCCATTTCCACTGATCATAATTCCATTGTTGAGGTCTACTAGAATAGATTTATATTGTGAATTTTTCCAAACTCACATTGGTTTCTCATACAGCATCTCTCCAAACTCACATTGGTTTCTCAAACAGCATCTCTGTAAACTACGTGTATTCACTGAATTTCACTCTCTGCCTTTAACGGCTCGTTGTAGCTCCAATAGCTCCAGCCCCCACCCTCCCTGTGAGCACAGTGTGCTCTGATTGGTCGGGACGTTGTGAATCGCGCTGAGCTCCGTGGAGGTGTTGTTTCCTTGTTAGCGATACACAGCCAAACACAGCCAAACTCATCCTGAGCACACACAAACTCACAGCCGGATTAAAAACAATAAGTGTGGCTTGATATTGAGTAAGAAAAAGGTTGATAAACGCTGTGAGAATGGGTCTGCAGAGAGAATGGGTCTGCAGAGAGAATGGGTCTGCAGAGAGAATGGGTCTGCAGAGAGATTGGGTCTGCAGAGAGAATGGGTCTGCAGAGAGAATTTCGCCGCGATCCCAACTGTCTGTTATCAGCCTGCAGCCAGGGAGGAGAAATCAGCAGAGCTGCCTGTGTGTGAGGAAGTCCGTGGATTGGTTAATTTGGACCAATCAGCGGGGGCTTAACGTAACGGCTCTGCGGACCTAACGTAATGGCTCCACGGATTGGTCCATTTCGTTCCGGGTACGGCTTGACATCATGCCGTACCCGGAACGAAATGGAAGAATCAAATGGACAATGACGTATCTCCAACGAGGCGTATTGGGGAGGTATTTTCTGTGTTAGAGTTTTACTCGCTACAGGGTGTACTTTGAGGGTTTGTGACTCTGCACACCATTTACATGCATACAAACCTTCATAACACAAGGGGACGGGTAATAACCGGAAAAGCATGACATGGGCCCTTTAAATAATACATTATTCCGAGTGTGCTTGCTTTTCTCTTTGAAAGTCATCACATAACGGCATTGTAATACACGTTTCGTGGCTATATAGAAGCCTATGGACATCCCGGAAAGTTGAAAATGTACGCTAAGGGCCACCCCCCTTGCGTTGGAAAAAGACCACAGGGGACCTTGACATAACGTCAACATACGCCGACCTGGGAGTGAGGATGTGTTGCAATATAATAGTAACGCCATGTACAATGACAGAATGAAATGAAAGATTGCATAAAACCATACACACCAGTATTTATTTTCATGAACAATATTAGCATACGTTTTACAAATTCAGTCAAAAGAAACAAACCACTCACTGCTGTATTTGCCTCAACTGTAGTCTCCCATATTCAGCTCTGTATATATTCAATGCATTCTGCAGGGAGAACACATTGAGGCACACAGGCTCCAAACCAGGATGGTCCACCATACAACGCACCGAGTCCTCAAGTTCCTGCATCCGTCTTGACACCTAGTGAGATAAACATATATTGAATGACATGTGAAAAATGTATTCTCCAAACAGAGAACTTAGTGAAGCTATCAAAAATGTTACCTGTGGTATCTCAATGCAGCACACATTCTCAGGTTCCGAAAGAGCATTGTGGCGCAATTTCCACATGTACACCTGTATGAAGAAGTCAATAAATGAATAAATGTTTATTGTATGATATATGTAGCCTGTTTCTTCTCGTCTAGTTTTCAAAACAAGCATGGTAACATGACGCTCGTGCCGGGGCCGTGTCACGCCCCCCTCTTCTGCAGGGGGGCGTGGTCAGCTGCAGCTCAAGCTAAGTCACAGAATCAGCCCTTGCAAAAACAGGCCTGGAGAACAGCACATAGAGCGAAATGAGGCATGGCTAAAATGCATGATCTGTTTGGTATTTTGAAAAAAGAAACGTATAAATATGCCTTATATAGGTATGGCCCTACAATATATTATTTAAATATAGCATGATAGGTCCACTTTAATAAAAGAGCACATGTTCAATGTGAAAAGTGACCGTAGATAGATTACTTCAGTTGCAATTTGGTGCTATATATATATATATTTTTAATTTAAATAAATAAATTAAAAAAAAAATTAAAAAACATACCTTGAATTGCAGGCGGGGCGCGGGGCTCCGTTGGCAGGGCGCAGCGCCCCGCCAAGACAATGGTAGGGGAAACACTGCCATGGACCAGGCTATTCCCTTCCCGCCGGAATGGCGAACACAAATGGCACCTCCTCGGCCACCTCCTGGTCCTCCATTTCCACCACCTCGAGCTGTTCATGGTCCTGCGCCTCATCCGGTGAGACATCATGCGCCGAGACATCATGCGCCTGGAAATGTTCCAGGCGATGTTGGCGTCTGAGCCGCGGGAGCGCACAACAGGCACTGCAGGACGGAGAATGTTTGATGCCCTCCACAGCGTGGTCGGGTCCCAAACACTCAAAAAGCACAAGCGGTGGGAATCAGCGCCCGCAATTAAGCCAGGGCATGTAGGGCAAGGCCGAGTTTCAAGGAGTGTTGAGTCCATATTATTTTCCTATTTCTTTATCTTCTTTTACGTTTAGCTTCAGTTGTTGCTGCTCGCTGAAGAGAAAAAGGATGACAGTCGGGAGGCGGAGCCGCCTTATATACTGTTGGCCGGCGCGCGCATTCAGGTAGGCTCGCCCCGATTGGCCGGCTACATTTATGCAACTCAGTAGGTGAATGCCCGCATAGCATGATAGAGAGTCATACCCATAGAGTCCAGTAGAGGGCGGAGCCTGTGTGATATAGAGTGGCGAAGTCCCTCCCCTTCCGGTGGACCTCCATGGGACCTTATTTAGGAAAAATTATGTATTGAAGTCAATGGAGAGAGAAAGATTATCTTTCGATCCCGTTTGAATTGTGCCACGAATTACACATATGATGTTTGTCAATTTAAAAGATAATTTTGCAAGTCAAAAAAAAAAAATGTGTCGGAAAACTGTGAAGTAACACATTTGTTTGTGTGAAACGCGACTCTGGGATTTGTAGTCTTTCTAGTTGCGTATTTTTCATAGTCTTATATTTCAACAGTTTTACGACAAACTGTGACTTTTTTGACATGGAAATTATTTTTTAAGATTGACAAACATCATATGTGTAATTCATGGCACAATTCAAACGGGATCGAAAGATAAGTTTTCTCTCTCCATTGACTTCAATACATTATTTTTCCGAAATAAGGTCCCATGGACCGGAAGTAGATGGGCGTGACTTCACCACTCTATATAACTGATGTGGAACTAAAGGTGGATTGAACAGCAGTGAAGGGGTTAGTATGGAGGACAGAACATGGCATAAGTATAAACTGACAGAAACATAAATGTATAAATAAATGTATGAATAAATACATTAAAAGAATAAATAAATGTGGAAATAAAATACAGAAGAAATGTGTATTTTAACACATTTAACGTGACACACAACTGTCCAACAGGGGACTCATTTATTATTTTAAAACCACCATAATAATGCTAAATGTTCAAAATAAGTGTTGAAGTATAACGAAAGGAGAGCATCTAAGTGTTTTTGGCAGCACTTCACGGTACTACTGAATATTCTCCAAAAATATGTATTAGCATTTAATCCTTCAAAACATATGTAGTAGTAATCACAGTTTTATATTTATAACATTACAGTATTATTCAAGAGGAAGCTAAAGAAGGCAATTGGTTTTCAGATGTTTTGTATCATTATAAAAACAATACGTCATCTTTTTCATTTCATTTCATTTCAAACCTTTATTTATCCAGGTTGTATCCCATTGAGATCATTGATCTCTTGTTCAAGGGAGACCTGCTCAAGTAGGTTCCACATGAAACATAAAAACATAAACAGAACAACAAAAGGACATCATACAGCATCATTACAGGGATTACAATTTACAATAACTATCCACATGAACAGGTACCAACAGCTTCCGATTGAGTAGCATCCAACCGAGCTTTAAAAACATTTAGTGGCACCAGATTGCTCAGTTTCCATTTCAATTGCAGACTATTCCAGGACAGTGGAGCTGCGCATCTAAATGCTATCTTCCCTAAGACAGTCCTAGCAGTTGGCACATTTAATAAAACCACAGCATGCGATCTCAGGCAGTAGCCACTTACAATTCGCCGTGAGATCAGGGAGCAGATGTAGGATGGAAGTTTCCCTAACATGGCTTTATAGATAGATAGATAGATCGTACTTTATTGATCCCAAATTGGGAAATTGTTTTTGTTACAGCAGCATAAAAGGCATTTTACAATAAAACAAAATATACAAGAATAGAAATAAAATAAAATAAAATATAAAATAAAATATAAAATATACATGTCAAAATACAAAATAGAAAATATACATACAGATATTATATATATATACAAATATATATATATTCAAAATATATGGAATTATGGAGTATTAAATATGAAACAGATTATGTGTGAGTAAAATGTACAAGGTGGTTTTATTTCTAGAGAAACTATGGAGCAGAGAGTTCTCTTCCATATATATAAAAATGTACCAGTGACTGAGCCTCCGTACAGTTAGCGAAGGCAAACCAGCCTTTGCATACAGAATTTTGAATCAAAACAAAGAAAATATTTCTGATTATTGCATACCACACTGCATATGGTAAACATGTGGCTTCAAACTGGATTAAGAATCAATTTATGGCAGCAAACACTGACCACTAAATATAGAACAAGCAAATGTAAATGCCATAGGGATGGAATCAGATAAATGTTTTGTGTCCGAGTGTGAGACAGATGTGTGTGTGATGGTGAACACACTGAACTGATTTCAGCAGCTAATCTGAAGTCAGTTTCCTTCGTCAGGAGAGACCCTCAGACCTGCAGAGGAACCAGAGACACTGAGGAACCAGAAAACCGAAGCCCGAACCCAAACCCAAACCCAAACCCAGCATAGAGAGGTTCAGTGAATGTGGTTCTGAAGGTGTGGAGGCGGATCAGTGTGTCAGAGGAGACTCTGTAGAAGGAGAGAGAGCCAGCAGGATGATCCAGATACACTGCTACTCTAGCAGAGGTGGAGGGGGAGGAGGAGAGGGAGATGCGTGTTTTTTTGTTATTGTGACAGACAAAGTAACGACCAGTAGCGCACTCCAGACGCCAGGACTGATCATTCCCTCCAAACACACAGTCCTCACTGTCTCCTCTCCTGCTGATTCCTCTGTAAGTCACTGATATATAAGCGTCTCCTCTCCACACGACCTCCCAGTAACAGCGACCAGTCAGAGCTTCTCTACACATCAGCTGAGGCCAGCCATCAAATCTCTCTGGATGATCAGGATATGGCTGCTCCTCCTCTCTCACATATGTTACCTTCCTGTTGTTGTCAGACAGTTCAAGGTTCCTGTGTGCTGTGTTTGGGTCCAGCTCCAGTTCACAGGCATCTGATGGAGAGAACAGCTGCAGGTTATCATCTGTTCATTTATTAAAGGGCCCATGTCATGCTTTTCCGGTTATTACCCGTCCCCTTGTGTGTTATGAAGGTTTTTATGCATGTAAACGGTGTGCAGAGTCAAAACCCTCAAAGTACACCCTGTAGCGAGTAAAACTCTAACACAGAAAATACCTCCCCAAAACGCCTCGTTGGAGATACGTCACTGCCCATTTGATTCTTCCGGGTACCGCATGATGTCATGCGGTACCCGGAACGAAATGGACCAATCCCGAAGAGCTATGGCCACACCCAGCGGCGCTGGCCGCACCCTCTGCCAGCCTAACATTTACTGTTGGAAGCTCTGGTTCAGTTCACAATCGATCCAGTCATGCCACTGCCAAGGACCTGTTTCCTGAAATGTGAGGAGAAATCTGAGCTGTTTGTCCTACCGACGGAAGAACCACGACGAAGTCAGTGGTTGAAATTTCTTTTTAACACTGTTCCTTCAGAGGTTCGAAGAACGTTACTGTGTGCGCGGCATTTCACAGACGAAAGCTTCCAAAACATTGCCCAGTTTGAGGCCGGATATGCACAGCTTGTTTGGACCATTTGGAGCAGGGGAAGATCCGGGTACACAACCTGTAAGTTTGCATTGTTATTTGTGTATTTATCAAACAAGGTATCTACCACGACTGTTTAAATGTGTAAACATGTTTCGGACTGCTAAGCCAGTGCTAACTGTGCTAACTAAGTTGCTAGCGTTTCCATATATCAACTCTAATATCAGCAGATGGCCTTACATACATGTATCTCATAGCAGGAGAATGTCTGCATTCACACACCAAATACTCATAGACAGTATACTCCGGGTGATTTGCCGTACGGTCAGTCGCGAAACGTAATTACATTATAGCTGGCGTAGCGTGTATGTTACCGAGCTAAACAACAAGGCTACTAAGAGCTAGACATGAGTTTGCTCGGAAAAACATTTTTTTTATGCCAGCTACAATGAATGTAGCAGACTACCCATATAAGATTGCAATTGTAAACATGTGCTTGATAGCCTAATATGAACCACTATCTGTTGTTCATAGTATAGTATAGCATATTGAACAACTGAACAACTAGCAAACGTAGATTAGCATTGTAATCCAGCTGGCAAACTGACGAACATCAAACAACTAAGTTTATTTCACACTTCCAGCAGAGACCACGGGGAAATCCCCTCTCTTTGCCCGCTCACAGACCCCAAAGGACGGTACATTACAGTTAGCTTTCCTCCGACGCTGATAGCATGTATAGCTAACGAGGCTAGCTATACATGCTAGCGGGAAACATTGTATGACCGAACGTAGCAGACTACTACCCGTATAAGATTGCAATTATAAACACGTTATTGCTAGCCTAATATGAACAACTAGCTTTTGTTCATAGTAGTTTTATTACACTCCATTATAGTTGCCGTTCCTCCGAGCTAACGTTCATATCGTGTTTGCTAAGGTAAACAAGAAAGCTAGGTTAGCATATTAGCTGGCAAGCTTACTGTGTTGATTATATAGATGGATTAGATAGATCCACACTCCTACCACAACTACTACTAACGAATCTAAAACAACTAAGTTTCTCTAATATTTTGTGATTTGCTTTTGATTTCGTCCAGCCAGATCCTGGCGCCCAGGCAAGATGCCGACAACGGGGAGGAATGGATGATATACAGTGTATATATGTATATTTATGTTCATTTTGTACATTTCTAAAAATAAAGTTTGATGGAAATACTTAGTAGGCCTATCCTTTCTTCCCTGAATTATTTGCTCCTATAACATATCATTCATATATAGCAAACCATGATTTGATTTCTCATCAAACAGTAGTAGTTTATTACAGGTAAAAATAACTTACTCTTCTATAACAACAGTTGTAGGTACAGTTCGGTTAGTTAGCGTATAAAATATACGGCTGTACCGACGCCATGATAAGACTGATGTTCTGAGAGCGAGCCGAAAAAAGCACTGTTAGACATGGGTGGAGCCTCTCTGGTGGTTGACTAATCAGAACAGAGTGGCCGAGCTGACCAATCGGAGCACACTAGGCTCACAGGGAGGGGGGGGCAAGAGCTCCAACGAGTCGTTTAGTGGAGAGAGTGAATACTGCTGAATACACATGCTTGACAGAGATGCTGTATGCGAAACCAATGTGAGTTTGGAAAATTGCACAGTATAAATCTATTTTAGTATACCTCAACAATGTAATTATGATCAGTGGAAATGGCCATTACATGGGCCCATTTCTTGTTTTTATATTGTCTTGTTGTTTTTATATTGTCTTGTTGTTGCGCGTTGGCACCTTGAGTTCACATTGTAATTTTGTTGTACAATGACAAATTAAAGATCTTATCTTATCTTATTTTATAACACACAAGGGGACGGGTAATAACCAGAAAAGCATGTCATGGGACCTTTAAAGTAGTCCAAAAGTAATCAAGTGAAGTTACTTTGATATTGTGATACTTAGATTAAAGGGGACCTATCATGCAAAATGCACCTTTGTACGTCTTTTCTACATGAATATGTGTCCCCGGTGTTCCAGGGAACTCACCAAGTGTCAGAAAACACAACCCTCTCTATTTTCCTCCATACCCAAATCTCTAAAAAAGGGGCTGCAACGGATCTGATAAAAACTGATCCAAATTTGAACACTGTCCTGACGTCAGGACGGTGGCGCAACGGCTATTGGGCCAACTCTCCACCTATCAGGGGAATGTGGGGTTGGGCCACGGCCGGCCATTGCCGCTCGAAAGCGCTGGAGAAGCTGTAGTACATATGCCAGGCCTGTAAGTGGCGCTGTAGTCTGCCACAAAAGCAGCGAAGAAGACTTCCCGCCCATAGTTACCATGGTTACCCTTCTGTTTATTCTCCGCTGTGGCTTTTTTTCTCCCTCCCTGAGGCAAGCGTTTGCTCCCGCTGCTTTAATTCAATGCAATCCTTCCCCGTCGAGGCAAGCACTGTAATTCTCTCCGGTTAGTCCACCAGCAGATGACAAACACCCACCTCTCCGCCTCTTCCAAGGAACGAGGGGACCGTGCGGCAGAGTTTCAGTTAGGTTTTCTTTCGCCGGTCAAGATGTCCGTTAAGGTTTAAATCTTCCGGACAAAATTAGAAAAGTGCCGGTCAAAGGTCTTCTTTGTTATTTATTGAGCTTTAAAACAAATGAATAACGACTCTATATAATAATAGGCTATAATAAAACACGGAGGACGGAGATCTATTTTTCTCCCCCTCTTGACTTGATCAGAGCACGGCTCCCCTCTCCTGCAGGGGGGCGTGGTCAGCTGCAGCTCACAGAATCAGCCCCCTGCAGAAACAGTGCTGGAGAACAGCAAATAGAGCGAAATGAGGCATGGCTAAAATGCATGATCTGTTTGGTATTTTGAAAACAGAAACGTATAAATATACCTTATATAGGTATGGCCCAACAATATATCATTTAAATATAGCATGATAGGTCCACTTTAAGTTACTGATTACATTTCTTAACAGGTATTTAGTAACTGTAACTGAATACATTTTAGAGTAACCCTCCCCACCCTGAATATCAGAATATATCTTTAAAGACAATGAAGAGATGAAATGAGCTGTCGGTGCGTCTGTTATGAAATGTGTTTATTAGTGTAACATGTGCAGTTCTCCTGCATCAAACTTAAAGGGGACCTATCATGCAAAATGCACTTGTTGATGTCTTTTATAAATATGTGTTCCAGTGTGTCAGGAGACACACAAAGTGTCAGAAAATAAAACCCTCTCTCTTTTCCTCCGTACCCAAATCTCTAAAAACGGGGGAACAACGGAGCTGATCCAGATTTGGTGCAATATAATGTAATATCTGAAATGTGGGCTGGCTTTACACCAACGGCCCTATCAGAAACGTTGCCGTCAGAAACAATGCCCGACTGTTCTGGACGTAATATGGTCTTTGTTTATATTAGCAAGCATCGCTAACACTCAGAGCCAACGCTGTACTGGAGAGAGTATGTGTAAAAAAGCAGGAAATAAAAAGGAACTCACCTTGTGGTAAACCTGAGAGAGAAAGAGTTTGAGCCCCATACTGTTTCAGAAATAATCCTTGATGTGGTTTTGAACATGATATGGCGTTTAATCACGGGAGCATTTAGCTGTATCTGCCGGTAGAATTCTCCCGCATGAGCAGGCATAAGCTCCGCCCCTTTTTCTTCATTTTATTATTGTAAAGCTTTATAGCCAGAATAAGCCCTTTAGTAACAGGGCTGAAATATAGGGGGATGCTCTGGTATTTGGTGGTTTGGTATTTTGAGCAAAACACTTCAAAGACATGTTTTTAGTATTTTTTTATATATCTGAGACCTATAATATATGCCTAAAAATAGCATGATAGGAGAACTTTAAAACACACTTACACTTCCTCAGACCAGGTTTCAACCACTGCGGTCCACCATGGTCCATCCTGCAGGAAGAAACACAGACAGAATCAACTGCATATACCTTCACTCATATCCACCATTAAACAGGAAGCAGAGTCCCTCAGTCAGTGACACAATATGTCTGTCTGTCTGTCTGTCTGTCTGTCTGTACCTGAGTGTCTCCAGTCCAGCAGACAGCAGCTGCTCTCCTGAGTCTCCTGGATGATTGTAGCTCAGGTCCAGCTCTCTCAGATGGGAGAGGTTGGAGCTCAGAGCTGAAGCCAGAGAAACACAGCCTTCCTTTGTGACCTGACAGCCTGACAGACTGCACACACACACACACACACACACACACACACACACACACACACACACACACACACACACACACACACACACACACACACACACACACACACACACACACACACACACACACACACACACACACACACACACACACACACACACACACACACACACACACACACACACACACACACCACACACACACACACACACACACACACACACACACACACACACACACACACACACACACACACACACACACACACACACACACACACACACACACACACACACACACACACACACACACACACACACACACACAGTGATTTTATAATTCTGCTGAGTGATTTTAATGTTCAGAAGAGACAAAGATAGGCTATCTGGAGGTTGTGAAAGGTAGGAACAGCCAGTTTTGACCTGAGTAGAGTTGTTTTACTAGGATTTGTTTGAGGATAAGTTGGATCATCGGCTTCACAGCTTCTCTCTGACAATCAACCACTGCAATCATTCAATAAATGGTCCATCCAATAGTTAATATATGAAGTAATTAGGTGTTCAGATGGTCGACATTATTAAACAGCTTTTCACTAACCTGAGAGTCTTTAGTTCAGTGTGGACTCTCCAGTCCAGCAGACAGCAGCTTCACTCCTGAATCCTGCAGGTCGTTGTTACTCAGGTCCAGATCTCTCAGACTAGAGGACTGGGAGCTGAGGACTGAGGACAGAGCTTCACAGCTTCTCTCTGACAGGTTGCAGCCACTCAGTCTGAAGAGGAATCAGTAATATAGTAGTAATCAATTGAAAACAGTTATTTATCTATTTCTGAATACATTAATATTAAATTCAATCTGGATAGTTGTTCACGTACAGAGCTTTGTTGGAGGCTTTGACCACTGGCAGCAGCCTCAGAAGAGCCTCCTCTGAAGCAGAGTATTTCTTCAGGTCAAACACGTCCAGATCTTCTTCTGATGACAGTAAGATGAAGACCAGAGCTGACCATTCAGCAGGAGAGAGATTAACTCTGGAGAGATTTTCTAAACTCAGGTACCGTTGGATCTCCTCCACTAGAGAATGGTCATTCAGTTCATTCAGACAGTGCAACAGGTTGATGCTTCTCTCTGGAGACAGATCCTCATCCATCTTCTTCTTGATGTACTGGACTGTTTCCTCTTCAGTCTCTGAGTCACTTCCTGTCTGTGTCAGCAGGCCTCGTAGGAGTTTCTGATTGGTATGCAGTGAAAGACCCAGGAGGAAGCGGAGTAACAAGTCCAGGTGTCCATTTGGACTCTGTAAGGCCTGGTCCACAGCACTCTGGTAGAGATGTGTTAGTTCAGGTTTGACTTCAGACTTCTGGGAGGTTGTTGGTTCTTCTGACAGCAGGTTGACTCCAGAGGTGATGAAGGTCAGATGGACATGAAGAGCAGCCAGAAACTCCTGAACGCTCAGATGGACGAAGCAGAACACCTCATTCGTGTACGTTCCTCTCACCTCTCTAAAGACCTGCGTGAACACTCCTGAGTACACTGAGGCTGCTCTGATATCGATGCCACACTCTGTCAGGTCGGACTCATAGAAGATCAGGTTGCCTTTCTGCAGCTGCTCAAAAGCCAGTTTTCCCAGAGACTCCATCATCTTCCTGCTCTCTGGACTCCAGTGGGAATGTCTCTCACTTTTTCCATGATACTTGACGTTCTTGACTTTGGACTGAACCACCAGGAAGTGGATGTACATCTCAGTCAGGGTCTTGGGCAGCTCTCCTCCCTCTCTGGTTTTCAACATGTCCTCCAGAACTGAAGCAGAGATCCAGCAGAAGACTGGGATGTGGCACATGATGTGGAGGCTTCGTGAGGTCTTGATGTGGGAGATGATGGTGTCGGCCTGCTCCTGATCTCTGAATCTCTTCCTGAAGTACTCCTCCTTCTGTGGGTCAGTGAACCCTCGGACCTCTGTCACCATGTCCACACACTCAGGAGGGATCTGATTGGCTGCTGCAGGTCGTGTGGTTATCCAGAGGTGAGCAGAGGGAAGCAGCTTCCCCCTGATGAGGTTTGTCAGCAGCACATCCACTGAGGTGGACTCTGTGACGTCAGTCAGGATCTCAGTGTTGTGGAAGTCCAGAGGAAGTCGACACTCATCCAGACCGTCAAAGATGAACACAACCGGGAACTGATCAAACCTGCAGATTCCTGCGTCTCTGGTTTCGGTGAAGAACTGATGAACGAGTTCCACCAAGCTGTACTTGTTCTCTCTCACCACATTCAGCTCTCTGAAAGTGAATGGAAATATGAACTGGATGTCCTGGTTGGCTTTGCCTTCAGCCCAGTCCAGAGTGAACTTCTGTGTTAAGACTGTTTTCCCAATGCCAGCCACTCCCTTTGTCATCACTCTGATTGGTGCATCTCTTCCAGGTGAGGCTTTAAAGAGGTCTTCTTGTCTGATGGTTGTTTCTGGTCTGTCTGGTTTCCTGGATGCTGTTTCAATCTGTCTGACCTCATGTTCCATGTTGACCTCTGCATCCTCCCCCTCTGTGATGTAGTTCTCGGTGTAGATTTCATGCAGGGGTTTTAAATTTCCTTTTTTTGTGATTTTTTCAGATATGAATTCAGACTTTTTCTTCAGGTTTGATTTGAGTTCAGCTTGGCACTTAGAAACAATCTCTGAATGAAGCAAAAAGGAGAATTGATAATTAGAGAAGATACTACAAATAACATGTGTCTAAATACGTCCTCCTAATTTAAAACAATAGTAGAATATTTTTCAAGGATCAAGACCCTGTATCTTGTTGCATAATCATATGTAGCAAGCAACACATATTGTCATTGACAACAATTAATATCCAACGCTGAGTGAGTATTCTGATTTACAGTAGAGAACCATGGCCCTAAACCTGACTGACTCTTATTCTGCTGCTTGGAGCTGAGGTATAACCCTGGTAGAGCCCAACCCCTACTGAGGATGTATAAACAAAGCTTTTATTCCAGTTATTAAAGTATTGGATGGCTTTCCTACAGCATAGTAACATAGTAGCCTAACATCAACAGAGTAAAAAGCCTTCCCTTCCTTCCAGAAGACAGGTGGTTGGGCAAACTCCACTGACACCTCCTTGCAAATGTAACCACTGGGCCCTTGTTAAGGACTTGAATGGAATCTACAATGGGCCTTCTGAATGTATGAACACTTCTGCATGAGCAATCTCAGAAAGGCAGAGCAATGTGCTACTCTGATATTTAGAGTATACCAATAAACTACAGTCTTCCAGATTGTGTATGTATCCCCAGCCGGTGCCCTGACCCAGAGAGCCCACCCAAAGACTTCAAGAGGTCAAGACTCTGCTGAGGTTTCCATATTGAGTTAAATAATTTAAACACAAGTTAATATAATCAAATGTAATTTTGTATAACCCGCAATGAAAAATGCATTATATTTCACTTTGTTCTATACTCACAGTATATACCACAGTCAAAAAACATAATGCAGAGTTATAAAAAATACCAGTCCCATCTTTGTAACGTCTTTTTAATGACCTACCTGCAGGTTCTGAATGGTGTTTTGATAATTTCTCCTTTAGATCATTTTGCTTTATCTCCCCCAAAACCATTATGGTCACTTTGAACGTGTTTATGCAGTAGTTTAGAAACATCTGATCCACTGTGTCCATCCGGTCTGCATCCTCCAGTCGACTCTTTGGGATTCCTTTGAATCCTAGGACCTCCTCCTGCAGGTACCACTTGAACTCTTTAAAGTCCTCTTTCCCCAAATATTCCAAAGTGCTGACGAGGATCTTTTTAGGAGTCGCCATCTTTCCTGCAGAGATTCAAAAGGAGAATTATGCTAAGGCATTTTAGCCATGCCTCATTTCGCTCTATTTGCTGTATTCCAGCCCTGTTTTTGCAAGGGCTGATTCTGTGGCAAATTAGTTGCAGCTGACCACGCCGCCCTGCAAAGGAGGGGGGCGAGGCACGAGCGTCATGTTACCATGCTGTTACCATGCTGTTACCATGCTGTTACCATGCCACGGCAACCTCTCATTCCCCTGATAGATGGAGAGCTGCCCATACAGGCGTAGCTCCCTGTTTCTGACGTCAGAACAATTTCAAATCTGTATCAGTCTGTATCAGCTCCGTTCCCTTTTTTAGAGATTTGGGTATGGAGGAAAAGAGAGAGGGTTGTGTTTTCTGACACTTGGTGAGTTCCCTGACACACCGGGGACACATATTCATGTATAAAAGACGTACAAAAGTGCATTTTGCATGATAGGTCCCCTTTAATTGTAATTCAATAATATATGGTCTTTATATATTAAATAATCATAATAATAATGTAAATGTTTACACTTCTTTATTTTTTTTTTACTAACCGGTATCATTATGTTGTTACTTCGGCATCATTTATAAACGTGTATTACAATTTAATCACGGTAAAATATGTTCATGTTGTTGTAGCTCCCGAGCCAGCGCGTCTTGTTTGAATGATGCGAGTAAACACAGCTGGCAGCCGCGGTGAAACTCGAGCGCTTAGAGCGATGCGATAGGAGCGATTAGAGCGAAGCGAATATTCGCATCGCGTCCGGTGTGAACGCAGCATAAGCCAGGGGTGCCATTAAAAAAAAAAATTGTTATCAGGGTGCCGACGATTGTGAATCATCAACGGGGGGGGGGGGGCGAGGGTGAAGAGCTCGACGCTCGTGAACTGTCAACAGGAGGGCGGGGGAGCCTCGCTGCGGGGAAGCAGTGTGTGGACCCTGTCAGCGCAACTTACATTAGGGATGCTCCGATCGCCGATCCGATCGAGTGGGCGGGTCCTATGGGGATCTTCCATTTAAAGAAATGTTTAAAACTCAGTTAATGGGGCTCATTCACTGGCGCTTCCACAAACAACAACCAACATAATTGTTACATTCAAATGAAGTACATTATTCAAGTTTACATTAACTTTGGATAATAACACGGGAGAAATGAGCTGAAGCGCTCTCTTTTCCTCTCTCTCTCTCTCCTGACAGCCCGTCAGTATCTCATGCAGCTCACTGATCCAGTAATGAGTGACCCGACAGTGAAGAATACATATATTTATAACTAGTGTCAGCATTGGGTTGAGAGGTCATGTGTTGTGAGCATGGGCAGTCTGTCCTGGAGTGGTAGAGGAAAGGGTGGTGTGACTCGACGATAAATAAACGGAGGCGCTATATGTGACGCTCCAAAAAGTACTAAGTTCCTGAGTTTTTGTTACACAGAAATATTCTTGAAGCCTTAACACCTCGGACGTTACACTAGTTCCAGAGGTAGATCAAATAGCTAAGTGTGTTAGGTCTAACTCTTGTGTGTTTTGCTCCGCTCACCGGTCCGTCACAGCGGGTGGAGCTGCAGGATTTCTGCTTCACACACACGTTGCATACCGCTATTTTATTGTCATTTTCGGACACTTAAAATACTGCCAGACTAGTGAAGCCATTTTGGCGAGCTTGTTTTGCCGCGCACAGAGAAAAGTCTCATGTATTTTACGTCTCGCGATCGGCATTTTTAGAGAGCACCGATATATCTACATATAATGTGAGTATCGGCCGATATCGATCGCCACGCAAAAACTGCGGCATTTTTACAGCTCCTTATGGGTACTGCAATTTGTGAAGTGCTTTCCTCTGTGGTGAAACTATCAGCACTGCATTACGGAGGAAAGCGTCAGAAAGTCGCCTGGAGTTAAAGAGAGCGGGGCTGCGTTGCGTGCATGGCTTCCTTCTGCAGGTAACGGGGAGACGCGCTCTGGCGGCGGTCTCGTTCAGGATCCGAAAAATATAATTTAAATATTTTGCACACTTATTCCACTTATTCCTAGTGTGCCACTGGTTACGGTGCCGCGTGCCAATGGTGGCACGCGTGCCAGGGGTTGCCGACCCCTGGTCTAAGCCAATCGGACATGGACAACAAAAAGGATCAGTCTATGTGTCGAGGGGGAACTAGAGACGCCCGTCTGCCTTTACAGACGTTGACCGGTCTGACAGCGCTTAGCTCTCTGCTGCAGAGAGGAAGAGAAGATCACTGCTCTAAACAAAGTCAAAAATCTTACATCCAAAACGGAATAAATATAATTAATTATTATACGTTAAGTCTTCCCTTCTAAAAGGGTTAAATTTGAACTTTATTCTCAAAGTAATGATAAACCTGTGAGTTGGATGTAGAAAAGTCAGAATCAATATAGATGTTTTTTATTTTAAAGAAAATTCAGATTTTACATAGTATAAAACTGTAAATTATAGTGTCCGTCCAAAAATTATTTTTTACTTATAGTGAAAACTACCCTTGGATGATGGGTTAGTAGACTAAAAGCTTTAGGAATCCAAAGTACAACATATAATATGTACCCTGTATCAAGATTGATGCAAAACAAGTTAAATCTGACCTTTTTAGAGAGATTTAGCCAAAAAACCCTACTTCTGGGGTCATTTGGGTGGATTTGACCTATCTCTGGCCCCCCTTGGTCGATTTTGATGAATGAAATCTCTTTATAACCGCTAGAGCCAATCAAAACCGGAAGCTGCATACACTATGGTGGCTACCATTAGCAGCTAACCTTTCCGCTCCGATTTTTACATAAAAATTGAATTATGGATTATAAATATTTTTTTCAAATGCACAGGGACATTATTAACCTATAAATCAACAGTTGTAGAATTGTTTTTTTCCTTTTAATGCCATTGAACACGTCGCAAGGATAATGATTAAAGATCGTTTGTTTGAGCCGGGCTGCATTTCCTGATGAAAAAACAAACCGATTGTTTTTGTAGTTGTAGTACGCCAACGTGGATTAAACAACATTATTTTGTTAAATAAAAACAAGGTGATGTTTTGTAAAAAAAAATGTCAACCTTTATTTATCCAGGTGAATCCATTGAGATCATTGATCTCTTTTTCAAGGGAGACCTGCTCAAGTAGGTTCCACATGAAACATAAAAACATAAAACAGAACAACAAAAAGGACATCATACAGCATCATTACAGGGATTACAATTTACAATAACTATCCACATGAACAGGTACCAACAGCATCCGATTGAGTAGCATCCAACCGAGCATTGAAAACATTTAGTGGCACCAGATTGCTCAGTTTCCATTTAATTTGCAGACTATTCCAAGACAGTGGAGCTGCGCATCTAAATGCTATCTTCCCTAAGACAGTCCTAGCAGTTGGCACATTTAATAAAACCACAGCATGCGATCTCAGGCAGTAGCCACTTACAATTCGCCGTGAGATTAGGGAGCAGATGTAGGATGGAAGTTTCCCTAACATGGCTTTGTATATAAAAATGCACCAGTGACTGAGCCTCCGTACAGTTAGTGAAGGCAAACCTGCCCTTGCATACAGGGCACAGTGATGGGTTAATGCTTTACAGTTTGTCACAAATCTCAGTGCACTGTGACACGCAGCATCTAACTTGATCAGGTAATGGGCAGGTGCATTCATATAAATTAAATCACCATAGTCCAGCACAGGTAAAAAGGTCACAGTGACTAGCCTTTTTCTGGCCTCAAGTGAGAAACAGGACTTGTTTCTGAAAAAGAAACCTAGCCTAACCCTCAGTTTTTTAAGCAGATTAATGACCTGAAGTTTAAAAGTGAGACAGTCATCAAGCCAGATACCAAGGTATTTATAACAACCACTTCAAGTTTTATTCCTTGCGTAGTTACGATATCTAAAACAGGCTCTGGTGTCTTTTTAGCTTTTGAAAAGAGCATTACCTTGGTTTTCTCAACATTTAAAAGAAGCTTTAGTTCAGAGAGCTGAGTCTGAATAATGTTAAAAACAGCTTGCAATTCAACAACCGCCTCCTTAATGGAGGGACATGCACAGTACATCACGGTATCGTCCGCATAAAAATGTAAGGTTGCTCCATCGACATTTTCACCTAAACTATTGATGTAGATGGAGAATAAAAGTGGACCTAAAACAGAACCTTGAGAAACACCATTAGTAATGTTTAACCACTCAGAAGACAGCCCATCAAAGTGAACACATTGGGACCTTTCAGAGAGGTAGTTCACAAACCACCCTACTGCATGGCTGGATATGCCAATACTGAGTAGCCTCTGCTTCAAGATGCGATGATCGACGGTATCAAACGCTTTGGACAGGTCAACAAATAGAGCTGCACAACTCTGCTTAATATCTAAAATACTCGCCATATCATTCACCACTTTCATTGTCGCAGTGATGGTGCTATGTTGCTTTCTGAAGCCTGACTGATGTTTAGACAGGATGTCATTTGTACATAAAAACTCCTTTACCTGTTCACTCACTAGGCGTTCGAGCATCTTCGCCAGAACTGACAATTTAGAGATGGACCTATAATTATTTAAAACAGTTGCCTCCCCTCCTTTTAGTAGAGGCAGGACATACGCTGACTTCCATACTTTTGGAATTGCATTTGTGCTGAGGGAGAGGTTAAAAAGAGAAGTGAGAGGTGGAGCAATAAAATCTGCAGCTATCTTTAAAAAGAAAGGTGCTACGTTGTCCGGGCCGGCCGGTTTCTTAGGATCTAACTTGGTTAAAGCTTCACGAACAACATCAATAGTAAAATGAGTAAAACTGAAAGGGTTTTCCAGACCACATTGTTCAGAGACACAGACTGTGTTCACAGAAGCAGAGTTAGTCACAGAATCAAACAGAGAGCCACAGGACACAAAATGCTCATTAAAACAATTTAACATAGTAGCCCTGTCCGATATAGAGCCAGATGCTGTGGTAAGGCACAGAGGTAGCTCATTACGGATTTCACCGGTGGATATCAATTTTATGGCTTTCCAAAATGTTCT